AAGAGTCAGGAGAAAGAAGAAGAAAAATACAGAGCTGAAACTCACCAGCATCCAGGAGAGTCATGTTAGAAGACATAACTGAGCACGACAGAGTAGTCCGAAAAGCAACCAGCTCGTCATGACGGAACTCGGCCATGAGCTCGAGTAAGCGGTCGGGAGTGGTGTAGCAGCAGGGTTTGCCTGGATTAAGCAGACAGAAAGCGCAGGCATCACCAACGCCATAGCGATAGCAATGAAGGCCAAGAAGTGCGCAGTTGGCGCAAGAAGAAAATTTCTGGTCGGAAAATCAGGAATTTGACAAAATATAAGCAAAGGCGACGCACCGGGGGACAGAAATTAAGTGCTGACTCGACGTCGTCGATCGTATAGCGCGTTCGCGGAATTTAGAAACCTGAGGAAGAACGATGTTGCCTAGGCCATCAACTGTGCAAGGGGCAAAGCCGGGTGGTGGGAACGGGAAGCGAAAGGACGAGTCAACAGGGTCGAAATCGGGAGTATATGGCGGTAACAGGACCGAGGGAACGTCGGCGAGGACGCCAGCCAGCCCGAAGGGATATGCACCCCAGGCGAGATCAACGGCGAAGATGGCGCGCTGGAGAGACCAGAAACCAGTACGCTAAGCGGCAGCGCCGGCGGCGGTCGAGCACGCGCCTTAGAGGCCGGAGAGGACGATGGGGAAGTCGTTGGCCGGGTGGTGAGGTAGGACGAGGCAATGGTGGCATCCGCATGTTGAGTAGGCTGACGATACAGCCGTTCGCAAGTGGCTGGGAACGGCGTGATGACTGGGGGCGCCGGACGCGACCACAGAGGCAGACAGAATGGCATGGGGGAAGGGAAGCAAGGGAGGAGCGATCCACTCACCTGTTTAAGTGAAAAGACCCACTCAGTGGCGATCTCGAGAAGAAGCGGAAGTGTCATCTGTCAAAAAGTTAATCAACAAGGAAGACCTACGACTTTGGGTAACTGTCACACCGGACGCGGGCCGGCGCGTGGTCAGGAAGACCGGCGGCGGATTTCGGCCTAATCGGTCTTATTCGGACGCGCTGGGTTCAAAACAGAAGGCATAATATCATGCAACATAATTTAAATACAAAAATAACAACATGAGCAATGAGCAGCAAGTATCAACGATGGCGCGGTTAAGATTCGAAACGCGAATCCAGAGCAAGGCATATGACGCGGGCCAGGTGGTCGGATTCGCTCGACAACGACGCGAGGTCTGTGTAGCCCTCGTTGCCGAACGACGAGAGCAAAGAGGAAAGAAACTAGAGAAGGGTCAGCTGGAACAAAATGAGCAGCATAATCCACACCTCGAACAGTGCGATCGCGCCCTGGACAGTTTGCTCTACAAGATCGAGAGCGTAGTTGCGACAGATAGCTGTTAAGGATTAGTGGAAGTGGTAGTCGAAGAAACAGGGACCTACCAAGCTGGTCTGCATCGGAGACTTGGTTCTCCAGTTCAGTCCAAAGCCCCACTACCTCTTCGTGGCGCCACTCTTGAAGCGAGAGAAGGAACAAGTCGGCGTTGACGAACGAGCAGTCGTCCTTGCATCCGAAGACGCAGTTTGCGCAAGGGATACCGTTGGAGCGGAAGCGGCAAGGGAGACTGTTGGCAACGCAATACGCGCACTTGGCGAGGGCCTGAACACAAAGGTTAGCAAAGAAGATGGAGAAAATGCGAAATGTGCACGCACCGTGCCACGAGAGTGGATAGCGCGGTAGACGTCAGGTGTGTTGGCAGCGCGCGCATGTTCGTGAACGCGCGGGAAGACTCGCTCGCCGTTGGGGCCGGTCGACATCTCCAGAGGAACGGAGGTCGCCGGGACTTGAGAATCTACAGCCGAGGAGTAGACCGGGCTGTCGCAGAAGGATGAGGGGTCGGAGACGAAGAACGTGGAGTCGAAATAAGTGGGATACACCATTAGCATTCGGCGGGAACGAGCAAGAAAGCAAGCTGAAAGTGGGGGCTGAAAGTCAAGGCCAGCAAGAGGCCGCCTATAAATGCCAGCTGGCGGCGGCGCAGCAAAGTCAAATCACATCAATCAGAATTTCTAAAAGAAAGATGGTCAAGAAGCGTACCTTTTGAATTGAGTGAGGACACTCAAGATTTATTTTGGGGGGAGATGAAGAGCGCGTGATTCGCGCGCCCTTGGAATCAGCCAAGATGCCCACGAGGGGCATCTTTTGGAAGCACGACACCGCGTTAGCGGCGCGTGACCCGGAGATGCGGTGCGGACCGGCGCGAGAACGACCGGTGGAGCGCGGGGAAGCCTAGGCCGGGGCGAACGTGTTCGCCGCTGACTGATGGAGGCGCTGGAACTGCCAGCGATTGGGCAGTGCCGTTAACGCGCAAGACAGCGAGGATGGAAGGGTGGGTGTGTAGCACCCGTGTGGAGCGATAAGGACGCGTATGACGCGCGTCAGATGGCGGGAACGAGCGCGACAAGAGCGCGCGTCGGTGGACACGTGACCGAGCGACGGCGCTGCGGCGTAGGCCGATCACGGAGGCCGATCAAGGGGCCGGGCCGGCGGTGCTTCCGCCTCAACTCAGCGCTTCAAGGAGGTCCCCTTGGGACGAATTGGGTGCTTCAAGGGGAGCATTAAGCCCCTGAAATGGAGAGCAGTGTGTCAAGGAGGTAGGAATGGGGCGTTGGCGCGTCAAGGAGACGCGTCAAGGGGCTCCATTCTGGGGTAAAATGGAGAAGAGGCTGCGCTGGCCGAACGCGGGGGCCGATCACGGGGTCGCGTCTCGGGGAGCGTACCAAGGAGGATCAAGGAGACAAATTAAGGAGGTGCCCGATTGTCGGGGCCACCCCCGATGGTTTGGACGCTGACCAATGCTGGGCACCTTGTAATATAAATTGGGCATGCATTGTACTAGTACAGTAGTGAAGTTTGGCTTGCCCCGGGCCCTCGCGGGGTTGTGTTTTGGTTCCGTTACGTTGTCTCCGTTATCGCCGCTGTCTACGATCGTCTCCGTTATCGCCGTCTGGTCCGTTAAGTCCGTCTCCCCGTTGTATTGTTCCGCCGTCGTCCCCTCCGTTCCGCTTCAAGTCTTGTGACCGTGTTCGATCCCGTGCCTCAAAGTTCAAGATTACCTAATCGCCTGCATTGCGCCCAATTACATAATCGACCCGAAATTGTTGTCTGAATTGCAACTGCTATATACTTTAGTAGGAGCCCCCGAACTTGCGCGCTTGTGAAAAACCAAACTACCCCAAATCAAACTCCGACGTGATCCGATTGATCCGACTGATCCGAAGCTCGGCATAGGTGGTTTAGGTCCCGAATAGGTTGTGTGTTGTGTTGTGTGTGTTTGTTGTCTGTGTTTGTGTTGGAGTTGGGTTTTGTGTGGTTTTGTGTTTCTCTTTTAGTGTCTGTGTGTGTTCACCTTTCCAAGCGTTTCAGGTCCTGCTTAGAAGTTGGCCGCTCGGCGATGCCTCGGCACGCCACAAAAGCCTCGCAGTCAAGCTCGCAGTCCCAAGGCAGCAGGTTGTAAGCCCGAACAACCGCTAGCAATCGTGCTAGCGCTGGAAAAAAAGGTCATTGACGTTGGGTGGGAATGCGATCATGATCTGTGACCGCCGTGTGACATCACTGATGTGGTTCTTTTGCTTTTGACTTCCACCTCCACGCTGCCTTGGACTCGCCTCCACCAAGGTATGTCCTGCTGTCATACCCAGGAAAGCCCGTCTCCTTCAACTTCACTGAATCTCATCAAAAAAGTCAAAGCTCATTTGTTGCTCGTTTGCATGGAATTCGGGAATCGGCGGGCTTCTACATGAACGGTATACCGGGTCTTGTCCGCCACACGCACGCGCTGCGCCGCTGCCTTATCAACCCATATACAGATCAAGCCACCAAGGTACAATTTGGTAAAAATTGCAAGCCCACGCTGACTGCATCGGCAACAGACGAATTTGCGGTCTGAAACGCCTTAATTGTGGCATTACTTGCGAATTCCGGGAACCTGGCGATGTAGTACAGTAAGCATTCACTGGCAATCGAACAGAATAACTTGTGGGACCCACAGCAAGACCTGGTTCAGCTCGGATTGGGCGTCCTGGAGGCTCTGCAGCAGGAGCTTCGGCGCGTCTGTGCTGAAGTGCAGTGCTTTTTCTAGCGCGGCGGAGAAACCGCCGGGCAGAAGGTGAGTGGAGATGATGTCTGTCAAGTTGTTCGCGTCGAACAGGTGGGCCTGCGCGACGAGAAGATGCTTTCCGTTCGTCAGATCCCTTCTACGATCAGGTCAGTCTTTTCCTAATTCAATCGTGGAGAGTCCACTGACGATGCATCAATTGTAGCCAAGGGTCCCTGTGCGGCGCCAACTGCCTCGCCAATGGTTGGAGGGAATTTGCAAGAGTTGTTGCCCACCGCACGCTGGTGGAGGGGCACTAGATAGTTATCTCGTCAGCTCAAATTCCACATGGAGGCTGCTACAAGCGCCGACCTGCAAAACCGACAGCGGATAATGCCATTACAACACAAAGCAGGTGGAAGTTCATGATTGAGTTGGTCGAGGAAGGCCTTGGGTTGAAGAGGAAAGGTAAGGAGCGCAAAGAACGGCCGAATGATAGTGCTGACACCAGGTCAGAGGGAAAATGTCAACTTCAAGTGCTCTGGCACGGAGGCCTTATGTAGCTCGAAGGAAGTGCATCATATCGCGAAACCCACCAACTGCGATACGATCGGAGGCGGTCTGGGTTTTACTGTGTATATACAACGTGGCATCCCGAATGCTGATTTTATGACATCTAGGATCCGACCAGTGCATAGGATCATATCTTTTTCGGGAAGCACCGTCTAGGAACTCAACTAGTATTTATAGACTTATAGGACTTGTTGAAACTCTGACTGTTGCGGCTGCGAAAGTTCGGCTGTTTGAGGAAGTTTGGGATATATATGTTCATCCATCTGTCCCTATATTATTTTGGGATATATTAATGTTGTGCTCGATGAATACTAGTATTTGTGTGTGCAGTCCATTGCTGCACCGTGACTCAATTATGCAGCCTTGTAAACATCCGTGCAGACAGCACCACCTCTACATCAATCTTCACCCTTACTGTGACTTCAGTGTCCATGCGTCCCCGGATATTCGGCGGAACGAGTTTCTCCGAGTCGGCGACCGTGTTGTGACAGTGCACCAAGAAGTACAGCTTCTGCAGCCTTTCCAGCCGGCGGAGCTCCCCATTGAGGTGTGCCCAGTCGAGCGCGTCGAGCATGTACATGTAATCAATCGTGAGAACGAGCGTCAGCGTTTGAAGAGAGTTCGTTGCGCTTGCGAGCAGTACCCATGGCGCGTGCAGGCGGGTGCGGCCCGGGGTCGGTGCGTGGAAGCGGCGAAGGCCAATGTGCAGCGTCAAATCGGCAAGCTGTGGCGCGTGGGCCGCTAGCGGGAGATACGTGCGCACCTCCTCATCAGTAACGTGGTTCAGCAGCGCGAAGTCAAGTTGCCGGAGGTTGGGCCCAACTGCGGCGAGCAGTGCGCCAGCTGCTGGTAAAGCTGTAGGCCAGAGAGTACCGGCCTCGAGGGTGCGGAAGGCCGTTGGCGGAGCAGCAGCAAGCCAGCGCGCAATATGCCCAAAGGGATTGCCATCATTGGAGTATATCTTCATCCGGACGACGGTAAGGGTTGTGGGTGGCGGTAGATGTGGCGCAGCGCTGTCGTCACCGTCGGTCAGGAAAGCCCCTTGCACAGCGACTTCCTCCAAATGCGGCAGTCGGCCGGCCAGCGCAGTAAAATCGGCGGGAGAGCCAAAGGTAGTATACACTGCTGCCAGGTTTCTAAGATTCGAGAAGACGGCGGCAAACGTGTCAAAGGTCTCAGCCGACACGCCGACCCAAGACACGAAGAAGAGACGAAGATTGCGTACACGCGACAGCGCGGCCAGCTGTGGTACCAAGTTGCGGAAGGCGTGCACCGAGTCAAGGTCCGTGTCGGGCCGGGCTATCGATAGTGTATGCAGGTGCGGGAGAAAAGTGAGGGATTTCGAGCTGGCAAGCAGCTCAACAAAAGACCCAGAGTTCTGGTCGCGCAGCACCACTTCGCCAAACAGGAGTGGGCGGCTTAGCGCAAGCCAACCCCTGTTTACCAGGCCACATGCTGCGAGGGAGGGGACGTCGCCCTTGAGATGCTGGATGAAGAGGTCATCGAGCTCGGGAGGGAATGTGCCCAAGCTCATAGTGGACCGTGGTGGAGGAGAGAAGAAGAGTGTCGGCAACTGTCAATCATCAACGGCGCAATTACTGCCAAGCGCTGACTCCGATTCAAACACACCGATAGGGCAGTTTTCCTCAACGTCGGACGTTATATCTCGCAGTATTTCAACGTCGAATCTGGCTTTCCGTGTGCCTGTGATTAGCATCAACTGCTCACGTAATCGCTTGACATTTTTCCTCAACGACCACCTCCAAGAACGTATCTGCCATCCGCTCTGAGTCTATGGGCCCGGGGCCTATGTCTCAAACGACTTCCGCCCCTTGGTGGACGATAAAAGTCACGCCACCCCGCACACCTCAAACATCCGCCTCGCCGCGCGTTTTCTCGCCCCTTCCGCCATGTCCACCTTCGCCATTCCCAAAGGGATCATCGACTACAGTCTTGGGCCTCATGTGCGTATGCGCATCCACACTTTGCAGCGCAGCGCTGACGATAGCCGCCTTTTCAGCTCGCCGGGGCGTCTGTCGCAGCTCTGTTTACCGGCGTGCTCCTCCACCAATTCACCAAGTACCTGACCTATTCCACGGATGAGCCGCTGTACCGCCGCATATACGTTTACATCGCCGTTTTCGTCACAGTAGGGACCTCCGGCCTCGAGTTGTGCGTTTCCTTCCCTCCTCCCGACCCGCTCATTCACTGTACCCAAGTGCGACGTCTTGGGAGAGGATCATCCTTGGCGCGGAGTTCTTTGGCTATCCCGACCTGCCCATGACCGGGTCGGGCTCGATGATTGTACTCCTTCTCCCCTACACGCATCATTCAGTAGTTGACGCAGCTCCCAGACCGCCTTCCTCGCTATCTACGTGCAAAGCTTCTATCTCCACAGACTATTCCTCCTGTCTAAGCGCAACTGGTATCTTGTCACCTTCCTAGGCACTATCCTCGTCACGGCCTTCGCTCTTAGTCTGGCGGCTGTGAGTGGCTACACCGAGCCAACTTTTGTGGACTGCTTATTTTTCTGTGTAGGTCGGCCGACGCTTAGTTCCCAGGCCCACGGACAACGCAACAAGTCTGCTTCTATGTGCGTCCGAGCGCTAAACTTTCTTGCCTTCTCTCTGATTTGAAACAACTCAGACAATGTCCATCTCGCATTCATTCTCAGTGCGTATCCATTGACCATCGTGGAGCCTCGCTTGACCTGTTCCAGCCGGAGACATCTTGTTGTCGTCGACGACGGTTGGGTACCTTGTGTACTACCGCAAGAAGGTTCTTCCCAGTAGTGCCGGGCTCTTCATGAGCCTCATTCTTATCACGTTCCAATCTGCTGCCCCTGCAACTTTGTGGTGAGTAACAGTAGTAAGTACAGCCTCTCGATGCAGCTAAAACCCTGGCCAAGGATCATCGTCGAGTTCGCATTCTCCATCGCGTACCCCAACCCGCCTTCCGTTCCGTTTGCACGCGTGTCCGCAGCCATCGGGATGAACCTCGTGCTCGCGAAACTGTGGGCGATCTCGCTCCTCGGCACGCTCAACTCGCGGCCGAAAGAGAAGCCGCACAACCCAACGACCGTGTCCAACGGGGACAACATCAACAGCCAGGTGTACGTTAGCCGCGGTGGGATGCGCAATCTCCAAAGGGAATCGAAAATTCGGATACAGACAGAGACGACGTCGCTGGTGGTTCGTGATTCTGCATCGGATTCGACGCAGGCGCGGCCGCAATACAAATCGGGTATGTCTGGAGGGTCGGGGCAGGCGAAAGGCTGGACGGATGATGGAGAGACAGCTTGAAGAATTTTTAAATGAACTCATTCGGGCTTTTTAGTGTGGCCAACTCCAGCAGTTTTGTAGTCGCGCCAGTATGAATTGAAGAATTTGCAAAATGTCAGTACTAGTATAGCAAATTTCTGTTACTTTCAAGTTTGCTGCATTATCGTTCGGAATGGACGTTGCGACCTTCCGAGGTAGTCTAGCCCCGGCCCCGGTCTCTCCCGCACCACGGCCGGCCCCGAACCGAGGCTGGACGGCGACTCGATATGGCGATCATCGCGCTTGAATTTGACAGCTGGCAATTGGCTGGCATGGGGCTGTGTGTCGGGAGTTGTCAGCTTGTTCCTCCCGTCGTCAAGACTCATATATCGCTTGGCTGGCAGGCACAGCAGCCTTCTTTGAATCTTTCCTTCATCCCCCGTTGCTAAAAGACAGCTCTTGACGAGCTTGCTTCCACTCTTCTTCTTTCCCGCCCTCCATCGATCCCGCTGACGATCTCTCCCGATGTCCATAACGACGACAGCCACTGCACCTTCCTTGCCCCATGCCCAGCGCCAGCGCCTGATGCGCTCGATGCACAAGCTTGAGGCGGTCCTTGGCGAGACGCCCTACGTTGTGCTTGAATCAACTTCTCCTGGCCACCACTCGCGCTCCTTTTCCGCTGCCCCGCTGCCCAAGATGTACACGCCCAATGAGCGGACATCCTCGCTCCGGCGAGTCCACTCTTCCAGACGTGCCCAGCAAGAGTCTGTCGCTGTCGCTGGCCGGCCTATGCTCGTGATCGATGTCCCCTCGGCAACGCTAATGTCGCCGACCTCACTCGCGATGCTGAACCCCGACTTGGCCCCCGCCTCGCCGCTCACCCCGCCCGCCGACGATGTCTCCCCCACCAGCGATGCCGCCCGCCGACGCAAGCTCGCCAAGGTCATGCGGACACTGGGCGAGAACGTCCCGCCCGCACTCGTGTTCCCCGAATCCAGTCCAACTCCTCAGACAGTGAAGTCCCGCCGGCGGGCAAGCACATTGACGAGTCAGGTGCCCGACGTCGTCATGCCCTCTCCGAGGCACAACACCACCACCATGCTCCGCCCGCCGTCACCCACTCCAACTGCGCCGCGTCTGTCAAACGACTCGCAGCGCTCATACACTTCCATGTCGAGTCACAGCCACAGCAACGCTTCGTCGGGGTCCCAGCACTCGCGCGAGTACCTTGTGCCCACGCACCGCAGCGAGAAGGGCTGGAGCGGCGAGTGGGCGGGGAACATGAGCATGGACGACGTTGTCAAGGGGCTGCGTGGCCTCAAGATGAAATAATGGTTCATGATTATGTGTATGTGTGTATTGGCTTATCTGTTGTAATCTGGACTTTCTGTAGTTAGTTCACTTAGTTAGTGGTAGTTGTTTGGTTAGTAACTTTAGCATACTATAATCTCAATAAGGGTTTTTAATATTTTGGTTGCTGCTCAGTAAGATGAGTGACAATCAATCAATCCAGGGATCTGGGAAAAAGAGAACCCCAGTATAAATTTGACATAACTAGAATTGGACAGTATATGTATACATGAGCCTACTGTTCATCTGTCTACTTAAGTGATCCATTTCAATCCTTGATTAAACATACGCTGACCGAAGAGTAATTAATTAGACTTAGTAAAATAGTGACAAAGTGACATACTGTTATAAATGGCTTAGTAAAACTCGTTGATGGCGACCAGAAGCAACATGAGAACAATAGCACCAATGTATCTTGATATGGAAGGCATAGGTGGGGTGTAACATTTAGCCCAGTTGGCACCAAGAAAGTTCAAATCAATATCAATATCTGCCCTGCCATTACGGGATATGACAAGAGTACAGGGTTGGAACTTCAGTATGCCTTGTATAAGAGGGGAACACCAGATGATAGGAGAGGTGGCAGGGAAGGGGCCAATAAGCCAGCCATCTGTATCAATAGAATATTGTGGAATGTTGGCATCTGTATTCCAGATTCGAATTGTATGGTCACAGGAGCCAGAAACTACTTTTGTGCCATCAACAGAGAAGGCTACAGAGGTTATCCAATCAGTGTGGCCATTGAAGCTCTGCACTTCTGCTCCTGTAGCTGCATTCCAGATCTTAACTGTTGTATCACAAGAACCTGAAACAATCCTGGTGCCATCTGGACAGAATGCTACAGAGGTTATATAATGAGAGTGGCTATCAAAGCTCTGCTCTTCTGCTCCTGTAGCTGCATTCCAGATTTTAATTGTTTTATCACATGAGCTTGAAACAACCTTGGTGCCATCTGGAGAGAATGCTACTGAGTTTACCTAATCAGAGTGGCCATTCAAGCTCTGCTCTTCTGCTCCTGTCGCTGCATTCCAGATTTTAATTATTTTATCATGTGAACTTGAAACAACCTTGGTGCCATCTGGAGAGAATACTGCAGAGGTTACCCAATTATAGTGGCCATCCAAGCTCTGCTTCTCTACTCCTGTAGCTATATTCCAGATCTTGACTGTTGCATCCCAAGAAGCTAAAACAACCTTGGTGCTATCTGGAGAAAATTCTACAAAGTGAGAGCAGTTCTCAAAGCTCTGCTCTTCTGCTCCTGTAGCTGCATTCCATATCTTAATAGTTCCATGATCAGAAGCTGAAGCGACCTTTGTGCCATCTGGAGAGAATGCTACTGCAGTAATGCGTAGATTGTACTTATCCTTAATATTTACTAAGACTTCATCATGAACCATTGTGTCACAGTTCACTCTGATCAGATGAGGAAAGTATTTTCTCCAAACTTGGTACCCTCTCCTTGTGGCTAACTCTATTGCTAGACCTGTTATATATAAGTGAGGAGTTGACATCAGCCCTGGTCCATTTATATGGTAGATCCATAGAGATTGGGCCCTGTATAGACAATCTTTTATTATATCTGCTTTCTGAACCTAAAGCTTTTGTCAATACTCCTTGCCTTTGAGCTCTTCTAATATTGACCTTATGAATCCAACTCAATGCCTGGTCAAGTGCTACACGACAGTCTTTCTCTATCAAATGCATGGTCTCCATCCAAAATAATATCTTAACTTCCACAAATTTCTGTAGATACTGGATAATCTCCAGCACCCTTGGATTATCATGTCTAATTGACTTCAGATGTGCACCCCAGTTCCGGCAAGAGTATCTAAGCTCTACCCCTATTTGTTGCTTGATTTTTGACTGTAAGTTAACATCCTCCTCATCTGTTTGGTATGATGATGACAAGTCACAGATATTAAACTTCAGCTTTTCATCCAGAACCTTGAATACTGTATATGTGCGGTTGATAAAATAATCATTAGCTTCATCTCCATGTTTTGATCTTGCCCAATCAATAACAAAGTCATCAAATGACTTGTGATAAGAGTAAATGCATTGATCAGCTGCTGAGATATATAATACTGCACTAAAAGCCATAACACTATTTTCAATAGCTTTCATATCTGGCTTATCTGAAGTACTCTCCATGATAAGGGGAGCCAGAGTTTTAATGCTATGGGGTTGGCGGGCTGACACAACAGCATATAGTACATGCCGTCGCTGAACAATTTCTGATGTACCTGTTGGTAGCCCTTCCTGGAGAATGTATTTATATAAGGCGGCAGTTTGAAGCTCCACTCCTGTATCTGGACTAGTTAGTTTTCCGCTCTGATATAATCTCATCACTCTAATATGCTGTTCTTGCAGTGTCAGAGCATATTGTAAAGGCTTCAAGTATCTAACAACTGTGGCAGCATAAATGAAAAGTCCTTGAGCCTGCTGGACAATATAATGTTTATCCTGCCTAGATAATTCAGGCAATTCTGTATCAATATACTTCTGAATATCCCCTTCGGCCTGCCTTTTGAAATATTTTCTCGGAGTTCCTCTGCAAGTGTCACGGATAAGACCCGGCCCGTCCGCTCCGGCGCTGGTGTCGGGCCATTGCGGGCCCGCAACACGCAGCACGTGACGACAGGGAACATGCGCCCCAGTAGGAGGAACGCACACGTGGGAAGCACGTGACCGAGAACGACGCGTCGAGCCGTCGCCGAGCCCAACTCGACACAAGGGGACTGGGGAGGAGTGCTAGGAGGTCAGGAGTAGCGCCTGGCCCGCAAGGGATGTACGATCGTCCCCTCTGCGGCCAGGAACGGGAGCGAGGAGGAGGAGGAGAGGCCAGGGTGTCCGATCACCCCCTTTGCGGGCCCGCGTATATAAGGCGCGATAGTGTACCCTGTACTCTATCGCTTAGATCGTCTGAAGAACTACCTTACTCCGTGCGAGGAGACGCTATCGACTCATCGGGCCCGACACAACCCGATTCGAACCTTCGACCACCGACTACGGCAAGGGACCGAGTTCACGGGCCCTTTCGGTTTCGATCTACCCCGCCCGCCATACTTGCGGGCCTGACTACCCGTCTGTTCTGTTCCGGGTGCGCGTTCTTAGGAGAAGTCCTTGCACGGACCGACCCGCAGTCTGACAGCAAGTCTAGCAATTTCAGGATGTGGGTGGCTGGTGACTAATAGCTTTAAACCCCTGAAGTCCTGATTGATTTGTTCTATCAATTGCTCAAGAATATTATGTCCCTGGTCCCATTCAATCTCATCTAAAGCATCAATCACAATAAGATGTGTGATAGATTGGTGTTGCATAGATTTCTTCCAGGGGTCTACCAGTAATTTGACATGTGTACCTGAAGAGGGAACTATAGTATCCAGAGTTATATCAGACAGACTTTGAGCATATGGCCCATACTCCTGGAGAAGCTGTCGAGCAATGGTAGGGATAATATTGGCTAATGTTCTTGACATAGGTTCAGTTCTGGAGCAGAAGAATGATGCAGCCAGTCGCTTCTGTTCTTTTAGTTCTTTGCAGATTGTATAGGCAATAGTTGACTTTCCAGAGCCTGCCATACCACTAAGCCAGAATATTTGAGAGCTATTTGGGTCCTCAATCCAGGTTTCAAGTATTCTCAGTATATCTTCTCGGGTTCCTGAAGTACATAAATTTCTTGAGGTATCCAATTCTTGATCAGCATTAAATAATGCTTTTGATGCAAAAGGTAGCTTCTCAGCCTAATGATATATTGTGAAGTGTGAAATATTGTGAGGATTTGTTATACCATTGTAAATTTCATTGTTTTGGTTATATCTTGTGCAATTGATCGAGTCATCGCATCCTGTTAGAAAAAAATTGTCAGTTTAACTGTATCAAATTCCAATACTGTATCCCCAAATCACCCTATGCTCATCCAGGCCAATAGTCAGCTCATCAATACATGCTCGAATATCCTTAGCAAAGTCATTGGGTTGTATGAAGTTCTGGATTTTGAACTGGTTCAAGTTCCGCAATCTCACAGCTTGTCTGGTGAGTAATCTAAATTATTGTGAGATCTTGATATTAATAGCTAGCAGCCTGAATACATACTGTGCCAAGCTTTGGCTGCTTTTAATGACAATAGGATTGTATTTGTCCCCTTCAGTAATTTGGTGATTGATCTTTTCCAGCTTGCCTGTGAGCCTCATAACCAAGCTCTCCAAGCTCTCCTTATTATCCTGATATTCCTATAAATATATTAGATCCATGATAATACGACATCCAGATATACAATAATCAAACCAAACACAATATTTAAAACCTGCAAAGGAGCACTAAATGGAGGAGGGATCATTGGCTCCACAACTTCCATAATAGCTGATAGTCCCTTCAAAGTGCCTTGAACCTTTTCATAAATAATCTTCTTCCAGAAGGGTTGTGTCTATAACTCTTGCATTTAGAATAACCATTGATAAAAATCCCAGTTACTACCTGCAGTTGCACCTCATCATCCAGTTGCTGTAGTGTAAGAAATACCTGGAAGCTTCCATCTCCTTTGTTCAAAGCTTCCAATGGAAGAACTATAATGATAAGTAATTTACTTACTACTTACCAGAAGTAGAGCACTTACAATCTCCAGTGGCACTCTTGTCTAGCAATTCCTGGACTGTATAAGCATGCTGGACAAGAAAATCATCTTTGCCCCATTTGTGTGAGTGGAGAATTGCAAAATTCAGTTTCACATCTTTTGATTCAATCACACTATTATATAGTTTTTCAGTCAACTTTGAGTACACTAGTGGTATTCCACTCACATTTCTTCTCTGATACTCCACTGAGTAGTTGGGATGCTCTTGCTCTTCTTTGTTTCAATGAGGATTTTCCCAGTTGGGCTTCCCAGGCGGACAACAGCATAGAGCTTCATAATCTTCCCTGCTTTTCCGTTCAAGTTGTTTGAGTCTTGTGCTGGCCATGGATTGACTTTACAAAGATCAGCATTGTTGAGGGCTACATAGATGGAGGCTCACTGCGGAGAATGTAGGTCTGGGACATGGTGGTGGGGGTCAAGTGCAAGCAGGCAGCGATGCTACCATGAGGCAGCCGCATTGCTATCCTTGACATGAGAAATATATCACAAAAAGAAGTGGGGAAGTTGATCCAGCCAGCCACATGCTATATGATCGCACGCAACTTGAAGGTGTGTTTTTCGTCATGCTGTAGTTCACTTTTTGCAATCGCTGGGTCAAGCTTGCGAGAACTACAGTGTGAGAAAGGACGGCCTCAGCTTCGCGGGAAATTTCACGAAAATTTGGACTGAAACTTCAAGACAGCAAACCAGGCACCGTGAAGAGTCGGCGCCGGACCAGTCTGGACTCGGATGAACCCCGCAACAACTCGGGATTCAAAGTCACCAGCACAGTAACAGAAAATCCAAGTTATGTCAAATGTTTGGCGCGGTCTGTCGAGAATAAACCTTTGACGGTCACCGTCGTGACAGCTCTCACCGTCGTGACAGCTCTCTTCCACAACCTCCAGGAGGCTCGACCCCCACGCGGAGTTCACGGTGCGAACACCAATCATGACTGTCTTCCAAGCGCGCACAGCGACAGACCCATTGCCTTGGACGGAAGAACCCCCGACCGGCTGTCCTCTGTACGATTAGTATTTGATTGGAATTCATCAGATTTACAAGCTTGTGCCGCTACCAGTGAGGCATGAATGCGCTCCAGTTAACATCTACAAATGCGGCGCCGGGGAGCGACCGCAACATTATCAATGGAAGAACGAGAAGAATGCCGCGGGTGACAGAGTAGAAACTAGCGACAGTTACGGCCAGACCCCAGTTGGTGTGGACAGCCGAATTGTCAACCATTGCGAAGCCCACAAAGACTGCTGGGGCGATGACGATCGTCAGCGCCGAAGCGCGCCAGAGCCACATTTCGACAACGGAGGACAGTGGACTGCGCCAAAGAGGGACCCGCAGAGGAGCTCGGAGAAGACTACGGTGCGGAGCGTGAGCACGTGCTCGGAGAGGCGCTCGTAGTCCGTGTATGTTGTGCACCAGAAGGTCGGGACAGATGTGGCAGAGAGAGGATCGTACACGTGGGGCTCGTAGAGGTTCATGAAGACGGAAGTGAACCGGCTGGACCACGATATGCTGGGAGGGTGTATCTTGACGGGCACGACCTCATTCTGCATAGTAGTAGCAGAGAGCTGGATCGGATTGCGGACATCGAGCGGCTTCGGGAGCCAGAGCAGCCACGTGAGCCCGTTGAGCGTCGCGAAGGCCAGTGTGGCGACTTCGAGTGTGGTGAGAGGGAGGTTCTGCGCCCGCCCGGGCAACACATTGGGCAATGAACCAAATGCCTTGGCATAGCGCGATGCCCTTGGACAGCACATCGCCTTTGCTCTTGTCTGCGATGTCCGATTCGCGAGTAGCGTGAATTTCCTGCACCACATCTCCGGTCATGAGCTGTTTCACTGTGACGATGGGGTGGCCGTCGGCGTCGGCGAACCCGCCCATGACGAGGAAGAAGCCATGGGTGAGCGATATATGGAACTCTGCTAGTCATATCAGCCTGCAACTTGGAAGCCTGAAGGGACCTGGTGCTTACCTCGAGCAAAAGATTGGGCCATGATGGCCTGCTTCGCCGCCATACCAACAATAATCTCAGGCGCGATGAGCGCCGCGGCCATGAGCTTTACCCGCTGCAGCAACGGTCCGTTGGTAGTGACGAGTTGCCATTTCGCTCGCCTCCAAAACCCAGCTCCGCGTTCGGGTCTCGCGGCTGTCGGAGGAGGAATGTTCGGGTGCACGGACACCCAGATGCACAGGAATATGGTGGCCAGGCAGCCCCACACGATGTCGAAGAGCCGGCGGCAGTTGTTAATGTCGGTGCATTCATCTGCTAGTGCCGTCTGCCAGTGACCGGAGCGGGAGTGGGCACTAGCCGAGGCGTAGGCGAGGAGGAAGAGCATTTACAGCAAGGCTGCGAGCAGCGCTATATAGAGCCCCGGCGCTTGCGAGCATCACCTGAGATCGACGTAACCAATCAGAAGGAACACTGCATGTGACGCCCGTGACTACTTGTGATGCATGCCCGTTACTGACACTAGTGACGCGTAATTTGAAATTTCAAAGCGCCGCTGCAGAGCAAACCCTCATGTACATGTGTATAGACACTCTGGAGTTTAGCATGATTTTTACTTCCAAAAGTTGATTCCAAATTGAAAAAAGTACTACTTTTTTGCACAAAAATCTTTTTACAGGAAACCAATAGGAAACCAGTTTGTATAAAGTTTTCCTCTTGCGGAACTATTTGTGTTCTGTAAAAATATTTTTTGTACAAAAACTAGTACTTTTTGAATCAACTTTTGGGAGTCAAAATCATAGTAAACTCAGAAGTTTTTTAATTTAGGTGTTTTGCCAAAATTAAAATGACCTTTAGTATGTACTACCAAAAACATTACTTTCAGGATGCAAAATCATCAGACTTAAGCCATTTTGGCAGCTAAATTCAACAGCGGTTTTTAATTGCTCAAGAATTCCAAGCACTTAGAAGTTTGAACTACACATTGTCATGCAATTCCAGCTATGTTATCAACTTCAAGTTATCATGCCAGTGCTTCACACAGCTAACTGCTATGTCACAAAATCCAGAATTTGACTATAATCAGTTCTAGCTGGCTATAGTCACCTACTGGCCTATAAAATTTCGGGTTACCCATAGCCTTTGAAGAAACCTATAGTTACTTATATAAAGGCCTATCCTAGCTATAGCTAAGATAGGTGCTGATAATCAGGATAGACCATGATAGGCTACTATAAGTGATGCTCATAAGTTTTTCTAAAAATTTCTGACAACTTCTTCCTCTGGTCTACCCTCTATTACCAGTAGTTTCAACTCTCCTAGTAGTATATTACTTACACTATGGAATCTTACACTATTGAGTAGGATTTGAACAGTTAACTTTATAAACCAAATATAAACTGAGAAGAACAGCGGAGCTACACAACTAGACAGATTATGAGAGTCAGCCTAAATATAGGCATTATTACAATGATTCTTTCTCAATATCCAGGGCTGTAATTCTGTTTATTACAACTGAGGCAACAAGACTGCCAGCCTAGATATGATAGTTAACTTACACCAGGTATCTATTTTATAATATAATAACTACCTAACTATATTGCTTGTAATGGCCTATTATCAGTGTTTGCCCTAAGACCTGAGGGCTTAGGTTAAGGGTTGGGCCTTAGGCTGCTTAGGGCCTAGAGCAGGCCTTATGTCCCAAAAAGGAAATCATTTGTAAAATCATCAATTAGCCATAAATAAACATATATTATATATTCAGAGAAAACAATGTTCTTTAATCATTTAGTAATACCAGAGTATAATAGCTTGCCTAATCATCACTTATAGGAGCAATCAGAATAGAGTTGTTGATTTAGTCATTCTATTAACCACAATCATTAGATATATCTGTTATTATATATTATTATAATTAATAAAATAAGATATTATTATATTTTAATTAACTTGGATATCATGACACTTTATAGGAAATTTTAACGGTAGAGATACCTCAAGATCTCAGAAAATGCACTTTTTGGATGTTAATTCAAACATTATAGTCTAATCTGCAAAAAAAGTATTATAAAGCAACAAAGTATTATAAAGTCAGTGTGATGTGTGACATGTGAACTGATTAAAATATTACTATATTGGTTACTAGTAAGTGTATATTGAGGCTATCAGGGACTTGGGCTTTATGATAATTATTTGATATAAGAAAGTTGGCCAAGCCTATCATGAGCATATACTGCTTATAGGCTGCTGCTAGCCTATCTATAGTTGGGCGGCCTAGGCCATAGACAAGCTATTGACAGCCTATCAGTGCCTATCCAGACTACTAATAAGTTGCTATAGGTCTTTTGCCTATTTTGCGACATTAATATCGAATTCATAATCACAGGGCTAACTACTACTAGTAGTGACGACTGGTACTGTACTATTATTATGGCCAGTCGAGGGGTCTGCGCCTAGTTGCGCGTCGGACCGTCGTTCTCGGCAAAGTACTCGTAACTGTCCCCATTTCTGGCGCTGCGCGGAGGTCAGTCAGACGCGGTGGGAGATGCGGCATGACATACGCTTTGAAGGGGTCGCGGGCAGCGAGGGTTAGCGAGGCGTCTTTGCCAGACGCATAGACATCCGTTGCGGCGAGGCTGTTGAAGTTGGACGCAGCGTTGACGAGCAGGCCGCCCTGGGAGTAGGAGCCATTCACAGGCGCTACGCTGAAGAAGCGGGGGCAGACGTCGATGACAAAGTTGTCTGGGTTATTCACGCCCACGAAGTTGATTTCGCTGTTGCACCCGCAGTTGTACTGGGGGCGGGTCAGCAAGCCTGGCAATTGTGGGGAAGGGGAAGCGACGTGCGGTGAACGACCCGAAGTGGGCCTGGGCGACCTTGCGGAAGTTGGCGAGGACGTTGTCGTGGTGGCCCTGATCGTAGTTTCCGAACCAGGCCTTGAAGCGCGCGGTGTCGCCGGTGGTCTCGAGATAGTTCACTGCAGTGTCGGCGTAGCGCTGGGCCTGCGCAACCGCGATGACCAGCTTCCCCTTCTGCTGTTCAGAGCAGCCCCAGTATTCAACGCGCTTTTCGAGGCTATTCTCTGCTACCCGTGTCAACCGGCGCTGGGAAAAGGCAAACAACCAGCTCACCCGGGCCGACTGTCAATGCGGTGACTGAGAGCGCAGCGCAAGCGATAGCGAGAAGGGTGGTGGCCAACATAATTAGTGAGTCGATTGAAGGTTGGGGCCTCACCTCAACGTAGAGACTGTTTATATACCGGCGTGGATGATCATCGTCACGATCGATGCGATGCCGTAACAGCATTACAGATGCCCTTGGGCAGGGTGAGCTTCGCTGCCGAGTCGTCCGCTGCTGCCTGTGCTTAGACGACGTTGACCGTGCGAGGTACCCTGAGGTACGTCAGAAGAAGAGACGAGTCCGGGCTAGAATCGGAATTCAGTGTCAACAAGTCAGTTGATGTTCCGGTTCAGGTGCTTCCAATTTGAGGTTTTTAAGCTGAGAGCTTCAAGTTGTATGGAGCGATAGGCACTCACGAGTCACTACATGTCTTTCAAGTCGCTGGATAGCTTCTCAGGAGCATTAAGCACTCATTCCATGCCTGCGCTTTAGCGCGCCGCCGCCAGTGTGTCGTGGCCACATAAAGCTTGCATAAAGCAGCATTAAAGCTGTGTTCATCGAAGTTCGACACTGGTTCCAGAATCGGCGGACTCCAACTTGTTTCACTGCACCCGCAGCAAGCCCAGAGACAAAGCACTTGGAATGGTGGAGTACCAGTAAACTTGATTTGCAGTGGGAGACGCCGCCGCCTGAAGCGCAGAGGAAAAGACCACAGTGATATAATGCCACTGATATTCAAGTTCTACCAGTGCAGACGATGGGTCGGGCATTGGTACCCGTTGGGGTTATTAAACAGGTAGAGCTGGTGGTACTCCTCCGCATCCCACCACGGCCCGGCCTCCTGGATCTGCGTGACGATGGCGGTGCCCTGCGGGAAGTGGTATGGGAGGAGCATGGAGACAAGACGGCGGGAAAGACTGACGTTTGGCGCAAAGTGCTTCGCCTGGACCTCCTCCGTCACGCGCTTGGCGGTGGCGGCCTGTTCAGCGGTCGTGGTGAAGATGGCGCTGCGGTATTCTGGCAAAATTAGTAGGATACTCGGAGTGGGTCGACAACGCACGCGTGCCGACATCTGGCCCTTGCTTGTTCTCCGTTGTCGGGTCGTGGGTGCGGTAGAAGAACTCTACCAGCTCCGCGTAGCTGACGAGATTTGGGTTAAACTCGATGCGGACAGCCTCGGCGTGACCTGTCGCGCCGCTGCAGACAGTGCGGTAGTCTGGATTCGTGGAAGTCTCCTTCCCGCCCGTGTACCCAACTGTTGTCTTGAGTATGCCCTTCGCGGGCGGGAAGTGCTTCACGAAAATGTGCTCAGTGCCCCAGAAGCAGCCCGAGGCAAAGATAGCAACTTCAGTCGTTGCTGAAGGCGATATCAACAATCGGAGAACAGATAAGTCGGCCGCGTACAGGTCATGCTGGGGCTTGAAAGTATTGTTGATGATAGACGAAGCGGGGGAAGATATAGTACGGGGTCACGGGCGGAGATGAGAAAGCCGCAGCCGTTGCTGACGCCGTCGACAGCGAAGGCGATGGTAATCTGTAAGCCAGCAACGCCGTGATATCCGGGCCGGCCGCGAAGCCCGGTAACATTCATTACGAGGAACAAATTTAGAATGCAAGTGAAAGAGCGGTTGCTTGTCATGATCTTATAATAACCTGACACGGGCGATATAAAGTGTTCATGAGGAAGAGTGGAAGAAGGATAGCTCATAACGATGCGATAAAAGCCTTGTCATTCTCGATGAACGACGGACACCACTATGGTGTACCCTCCTCCGATTCCGGAAGTCCCGCATATCCCCCCATAGGCAACACGACACCGTAGTTCTTGCGCTACACGCGCTGAAGTCGATCGCCCGCTTCGCACAAGTCGATAGGTCCAATCGAGGGTCCGTCCCTACTCGTCAGGTTCAGAGCGCGATGGTATGGCTAGCGAGCTCCAGCCCTTGTATCCTTTTCAAGCCACACAACGACGCAATTAAGGTTACTCAGGCTGGTCATCGTATCAGCCATTATGTATGCCGAGCCCGATGATATCGACAATGAGGTGAAAGATTGCGAGCAGAGGAGAGTGGCGCTTGGCGTAGAGCGCAGGACCCAAGAGCCCCAAAACAGGCCGCACGTAAAACCGCTGGATAGGAATGCAGACAGTAAAGACGCGTTTCAGCGTCAATTCTGCTCCAATAGATCGTCCCATATAGTCGAGAGATAGTATGGATATCCGAAACGACGTCCATTTTGTCGCGCGGTTATCCAGGCAACGACGATTGCGCGGATTTCACCCTCGCCGACAAAACAAGGGATATAAGAGGCCTCCGGCGGTAGAAGGTCTTGATATATTGCAGGAATAATGGGAGGGCATTCCTCTTCCTCAAAAGAGGGCTTTCGTGGTGGATTCGTGGCAGAATAGCGAAAAATTCGGGGCGGAGGGATTGGGAGAAGGTGTGACAGTAACGGGATCACATGATTTGCCGAGAGAAAATTTATAGGGTATATCGCCCAAGGCTCTCGCTGTGGCTGGAAGCGGAGGGCGTAGAAAATTTCAGTATATTGGGGCGAGTTTCGAAATCCGGTTTCCCCGAATGTAGACGCTGAAAATGAGGGCATGTGGGAAAGACGTGCGAGGCATGTGGTGCTTTTTGTCAACGACGAAAGGTTATCGTTTCGCAGGCTTGGACAACGGTTAGAAGATGAAGATTAAGAGCATCATAAACAACTTACTTCAGCGCAGTCATACACAAGGAAGCAGTTTGACTACGAACGTCAATATTCAGGGTTAGCGAAAGAGGGAGAGACGCACCAAAAGTGACCGGGAACCATTGCATCCGTCCAGCAACGAGGGCTCGTCCTGCGGATGCCACTCCTCCACAATTGCTCCGAGTTGAAGCTTAATACATAGTACCGTTGTTGCGCCAGTGCAGCAACCTGGAGAAGGAACCTTGACGAGAACCGCAGAAAAGGCATTCGACTCGGAAACACCAGCGACATACTGATGGGCATTGGCAATCACCAGTCCTGCTTTCCATGGTCAGCTCGTGTGATATCGTAAGCGGCGAAGGTCCCATTAGAATGGTTCTCAATCCCATCGCAGCGAAAGCAGGGGTGGTTTTGCCAACGAAAAGTAAGGACGCGGCGAGCGGAAGAGAGGCGGAAGCCGCACCGTCCCAAACGACCTTTCAATTCCAGATGTCTTTGGGCTCAGGGAGGACCTTCTTCAATAGAGGATGCTGGAGCCTCCCGGGATCGCCAGCCTCTGGCCGTTTCCGAGTGAGCCTGAGATGCGTGAAGGTGTTTGGCTTCTATTTGAGCATGGCTGCGAAATGACGAGGAGGAGTGAAAGCAAAAAGTTCTTGTGTGACCGTGATGACTCATGTCTTCTTGACCACAACTAAGTAAGGTGTCTTTGGAACTCCTACTTACCGGCTTCTGAGAATTTCAGGTCCATTCCACACTTGTTGCCACTCAAACTGGTTCTAGGAAAGAGTGTCTTACATATGGCACTACATTTTCTGTGCATATTAACCACCAACTTGAATCAACCATCTTCCTTCTTCACGCTCCTGCTCCCACTGGCATGGTCTCCATCTGATTTACGCTGCAGGCAAAGTAGCTGATGCGGCCGCTGGCGTCGAACTAGATGCACTTGCTTCAGTACTCAACAACTCGTCGCTCCCGACACCAGCTGCCAAACATTTCTGGGTGAGCGCAAGGGCCTGGTCGAGCAGACCTTGCGCGTTCTTTACCCGAGCGGCGTTGTTCTTTGCAGTCTTCCCAGCCCCTCCGTTCCTTGACCTGCGGTAGACGAAACTCAGTGCATGAAACCGACATCAAGAACGGCCACATACCCATTCGCACTTGTATCGACAGTGACCTGGCCCACGAAATTCCGCGCGTCAGCAAGCGCCTGGGGTGTCCCGCCTTCGACTGTGGACGCGTCGATCAACGCCAGCTGGGCCTGGAATATGGGCTTCGCATCCGGGATTCCGACGCTGGGGTCGTTTCAATAGTGTTTCATTCAACTCCAAAATGCTCACAATGGGTCGATTTTCGCCAACTGAATCTGCGCGTTCGAGACCACGTTGTCCAGCCCGGTACACTCAACGACAAAGTGCCCGTCAGGGGCGAGGTCGTTGCTCAGACTGCTTTTGGGAGCGGAGTCGGCAGCGATGCGTAGCCTGACTGGACCTGGAGAATTGAGTTCGGATGAGCTTGATGTGAGGAGAGCATTGGTACCAGCCAATACAGAGGATGCAAGAGCGGCGGCGGTGAAGAAGGCGAGTCTCATTCCGAGTCTTGGTCTATGGTTCCGTCACAGATATGGAAAAGGGAATGCGAACTTGAAGGGACACCAGGTCCGAGATAGAAAAGGGCGACAAGGGAAGGAAAAGTTGCTCTCTTCTCAAGACCACGACTTCCAATTTATACGCTCGGTCGGCTCGGGTTTGCAAAACAAAGATGGCTTTGGCAGAACATGAGGCCACATTGAATGAACGCGGTCGTCTTCCCTGCGGTCAATAGGATGCTCCCATACCAGGTAGTAATTTCCACCTCTGTTAATATCGTTATTCATAACAATCAACGGTCGACAGCAAGGGGGTCCCAACTTTCGAAAATCGGATATACCGTCGAAAAGTTTTTTTCAGGCCATCTGGGACCCCCCCCCCCTCCCCCCTTACCATATCGGGTAATATATTCCCATGATTGCACATCATGTGACCTGTTGATGCGATCAAAAGCGCCGATAAAATACACATTTTGAGTCACATTCAGTAATCTCCTCTTACTTATGAGTAATATATAGGTCTTGAGGCCTTATAGAGTCACTAGTAGACCATCCATGGCTATTTGTAATCAATGAGCAATGACATATTCATGACACCAGTCACACTGTAGTCACAGTGCAGCCTAACCAAGGTGTTGTAGGCCTTCCCATAGGAAAGTTGCAAGCATATTATATGCCTACATAGTATTCCATGCTAAAATACTACAAATGTAGTACAAAGCCAACCTCAGGCCTGCCAGAACCCCCCCCAAACTTTTGTATAGCAAAAGTTTTTTTCACCACCCCCTGGGACCCCCCCCTACCCCATGTCCGTGATAAGGATCTTGGGACCCCCTTGGTCGACAGTTGCGACTTCCCAACTTGAAAGTACTCAATGTGGAATCGCGGAATATATAGAGCGATCGCTCGGCCCTTTATTTCTGTTATTGAAATGGCAATAGTCTTCGAGGCAGCTTGTGTGTGCGGCATTGCTGAGCAATTTGTGACCAGTGAGTTGTCATAACTCAGAGATATCAGCTTGTGTCGTGCTGAGCCTGAGCCTGCAGCGGGGCACCGTTATGGCCCGCGAATTTACTTGGACCTGGGAAGCGGAGCCGTACGGGAAGTGGAAGCATTTATCTCCGAGGAAGAGAAAAGCCAGTAGCACTGGCCGCGATTTAAAAACGTGCTGACTGTCGAGGTCGGCATAACTTGCTAGTAGTATAAGAATCACTAGCTGAAGTCTTGTCATTGTTAAAGGACCGTGATGGTGCAAATCAGCGAGGTTTCGAGTGCCAGTGGCTGACGAGGAACGGCTTGGTAAGTATGCATAGTCTTGAAACCAACTCGTTTACTATAGTCGACCAGATGGGTTTAATAAATGATAATAATAATAATAATAATCGTTACACATGTACTCAAAAGATTGATCCATCTTGGAAGAGTTCAAGTTCATTGTGAATCCCTACTGCCAGTGTGTCCTACACCTTGGTAGAACTTACTTATACTGTACTACTTGTACCAAGTCTTACTTGGCTGCCAATGGCCATGACTGGCCATTACTCTCATATTAAGCAGATGTCGTGTGAATGTATGCACATGTTTGGCATTGGCTTTAATAATTGATTTGCTCCACACTTCCATTTTTGGGGTCACTGCTGTTAAAGTCCTAAATTGGTAAGAAGAGCTGTAAAATGGGACTAATCCTAATTGGGACATAAAGCTGTAAGTGATGACTTGCACCCAGTCCTGTGAACAAGTTGTATCTAAGGTGATTTACAAGTAAATGTTCTCAAATTGCCCACAAAGTGAGAAATAAGTACACAAATGTTAGTGACTTGGGTTGCACTCAATATATACTAGCAACAGATAAGAAGGCCATTGGGCATGTGTGTGCCATTCTGTAGTTAGTGGCAATGTTCTTAATTTTAAAAAATTATGTTATTTTAGCAATATTCAAGTTTAAGGCTGGGGCTATGCCCCAGCCCTGTCTAGTATTACCATAAGTATATATATGAGAACTTATGAGCGTAGAAGCCGACTTGTATGTGCCAGTGGCAGTGGGACCCGATGATGGTGCTATTCAAGTTCCCGCCAAAAAAATATTGAGATGAATTTTCGCCGTTTCGTGAAATTCGTCGAAATCCATCCTCCCGGATCACCAACACTAATCACATGCTTGGTCAGCTGTTTCATGTCCGAACAGCCGATGAAGGTCTCGACTCTCTCCTCAATATGCCATGCTCTGGCCGCCAAGTGCCCCCCTTCAGCTCATGCATATCATGACCATGTCGCACGGAGCCTTCATCGTCACTCTTTCCTGCCTTTTTACCCTTGTGTTCCTGCCGGACCTCATTTCCCGAACAACACCCGACTCCACGATTCTCCGCTGGATTGTATGGAGCAGAGACGCATTAACGCAGGCTGGGGCGGCCTTTTCCTTCTGTGTCGCCATCGGAATGGCGGTAGCCATTGTCAAGGACGGGCTTGTTGTTGTCCTTCACATCCGGGACATGTGGCAACCTCCGATGTATTTCGCGGCGCATAGTGGTGTGCCACCTTTGGTGGAAGACGAAGCGCCGAACACTACAAGCGAGTCTCCCCCTCGGCACCGGTGGTCAGCTTTCGAGCGTGGCCTCAGCGCCACCGATGTTGTCAACAAACTGATGATTCTCTTCGTCGCCTCCGCGCTAGTCTGGTATGAGCTTCTTCGCCTGAAGCTCGTATCCCCTGAGGCGCCGCTTCGCATCCACGGGTTCACCGCATTTCTCGTCCGTGGGACCTTATACGGTGTGGTCTTGGGCGTGGCCTTGGTGCTATCAAGCTATTCCATCGCGTGGTTATGGTGGAAGAGCAGGGAAGTCGATAACGATGATGGAGAGGCACCGGTGGAAGTGGAGGTGCTCGAAATCGAACGCGATGGGAAGATCCGCGCTCCGTTGAAGTTGGAAACGGTTTAAATTTAACAAGTGCGTTACCACGTTCTTACTTCTTCCCAGAAACCTTACCCAGCCACAGTATACCTCTGTACCAACTGACGCACTTCAACTATTGTTCGCCGTGTTGTAACATCAATCAAACTATGAAAGAAACAAGCGTGTACGACCAATAAACCCAGCTGATTCCCTCGTCCATCCGTTTAGAGAGTAATGGGAATGCAGTTGATGGCAATGAGGCCGCCCCATTGCTGCTGAGGAGCTTGGCAAGTGACGGTGGTGCCGCCGCTAGAAAACAATCAGCGACTGTTGTCTTGGGCGATGGAGAACCCACCAGTTGTTGCCAACGACGGTGATAGGGGAGCAGCTGAGGCCGACAGGGACAACAAGTCCGCCGAGGTCGATGCCCAAGAGGCCGATAATGGCAGAGGCAATGCCGGTGGCCGAGGAGACGACGCTGTTGCAGCATTGGGGGGAGTCGGATGGGGGCGGGTTGGTGCGCGACTCGAGGCCGTTAGGCGCGGCGGCAGCAAGGGTCTAGAAAAGAGGTCAGTGCTCGACGTGCTGGTTGGTGAAGAGACTAACAGCGAGGGCCAGGACGGCGGTGTACTTGAGGTTGGCGAACATCTTTGTGAGGAGGCTTGGTTTACTAGAACGAGTGGGTTCGAGTGAAGAATACAGGCCGACCCTGGGCAGCTTTTATACACTTTCCAGTCCCTCGCAGCCCCGTGGTTTTGGCACATCCTGCGCTTGTTTCAATGGTATACTGCTCTCCGCAACTTCAAATTCTGGAAAAATATAGTTGACAAAGCCACAACGTCATCCTAATCTGCCAGATACTTGTCGCATGTCTGCAGGAGCCAATGAGCGGCCACCTTACAGCCTGCCTAGGACAAGGGGACGCCTCCGCCACGTACAAGTGGAGCGCGTTATGGAAGCAGATCTCCTGCAACTCTATCGTCAACCTTCTATCTATCATTCAGCAAACACGGCTGACAAGAGTTCGAAATAATTATGGAATCAGACCCGCGATGCGAAAGACTGGTTGGTGGTTGCAACACAGTGCCAGATTTACCCACTGAGGTACCAATTGCAAAGTCCTGAGCATTTACTACTTCTTTTTGTTCAGCTCACCGTTCCTAGCAGGGAATATCATTTCATTGCCATTGTCTCCGTCGATTGAGTCGCTAAACCGAATACCTCCACCAACCGCGGTATCCAGGAGGCCAACTTCCAAGTTCCATTCATATGACCAATGATTCGCGGACGTGTGCTGCAACGGCGAGTGTGAATTGTAAGTCAATTCTAAGTCAATTCGCTCGTGCTTTCTGACGCGTTGGCAGAGAATCGTTCATGCCGTCCTTCTACCGCCACCATTTGTTCCTTGATTCAAAAAAACTTCAACAGAAATACGCGCTGCATAAAGCAACTTCCGCGGCAGTGCAGCCAGCGATTATGGCAATCGTACAAGACTGACTGCCTCGTCAAACTCTACATATCTAGCCTCCCTACCTTGCAACTTGAAGAACGAGGAGGAACAATTCGGAGGGTTGATGATCCGGTGCTTGACCGCCACCTACGTCAGGGCTGCCAGTGTCATATCATTCCTTCCTCCCTTCACCCGCCAACTCACCTCCCCGCCCCCATATCGTCGAAGTTGACCAAGACTCTTGGATTACATCAGAAACTTGTCATGCGCGTCGGCGCTCATCGTAGGCCGCGGAACTAGGCGCCTTGCGTCCAATGTCGTTGCACCAACCGGCTGCAGCCAATCGTGTCGTCCCGGATTTGTGGCACAGAGGCTCCCTCAGACGCCGTTCGCGCCGAAAACGGGGAGCGTTTCTTCTACGCGCTGTTGGCGCTGCCCGTTCAAGTTTTCGACTTCCCACCCTTGACCATGCATCCTGTCCTCGTTATCACTCGCTCAGTTCTGTGTCGTCATAGGATGACCGCAACGTCTACATTGGACAAGGTTATAATCCCACCTGTTCTTTCTTGCCGCCACCACGAACCCCAACGCGTCGTCCGTCCCCAACCAATATGATGCTCTCCAAGCTCCGCATTGCCGCCCTCTCCGCTATTTTTGTAGGAGTATCTTCCTTGTTCTTGCTTATGTAGCTCATGCCTAACGCCAGACCCTTGCTGCCGCCACCACCGTCATTCCGGTGGATCCGCCCACCTCCCCCCAGTGCTGCAAGACGGTCATCCGCTCAGACGAGTTCATTGTCACGGAGCTGTTAGCGGACCTCGGCCTTAGTCTGGGCAACATCACGGTCCCTGTCGGCCTCGGGTGCTCGCCTCTCAGCATCCTTAACGGATGGTGAGTTGTTTTCCAGTTGATCAAATCGTCTGACGGCTTTGCAGCGGCGATCTCTCCGTTACTTGCGCACCACCAACCGTCAATCTCCGTATGTCCATACGCCAACCTTAACGTCATATGCTGATTCACGATTCGCCCAGTTAACCTCATTGTTATCAACTGCATCCTAGTTGCGAGTTAGAGTCTTATACTACCCCTCGCAAATATATTTTCATGTCGACTCTTGTCGTAACCTACGCTATTGGACTACAAGGACTATATTGAAAACAATTTGTCTGAATAGCTCGAGTGTTACGACGTCGTAGAATGAAAACTATCCGCCAGTCCTATGTGTATTGGCATCCCTGAGCCCGGTGAAGGGCGAATACCCACTCATAACCCCACGTTTCGAGTACCGGAGTTGCACCTGCATTGGAGGCACCAGGTCGCGGATAATGTTTTTCAGATCGGGGGTAACATCTCGTTGCCGGGGTCGCGCGAAAGAGCACTCAATTTTACGCATTTGCCTCGCCGCAGATGCGCGCACGAAGGCAACGAGCGCCTCATCCGACGTGGCCTCAAGGTCCCCCAAAGAAATATGTTGCAACGACGGGAGTAGTCGGCCCCTGGGTGGGTCGGTCGTTTCGTCGCCCAACAGCCCTTCTCCCAGCTTGTTGAGGAAAGTGCCGTCACCGCTCGGCGCCTCTGAACCGAGAATGAGATTGGTGCCAAAGAGGCCGGTGTCGGTGATCGTGCCCTTGGGCTCGTGCTTCAGGATGAGCTTGGTCAGAGCGGGGAATAACACGAGCGCGGTCAGCAGCTTTTGTGTCTCCATCAGATTGATGCCCAGGGTCAAAGTCTCGACACGGAGCAGGGAGGAGGGGGATGGAAGGAGGTCAACGAGCTCCGCAACGCCGATAGTGAGCCACGGGCCGTGTGTCTCACATGTGAGAGTGCGCAGGTTCGGGAGGTCCAAAAAAGCGAAGAAGTTCATGGTGGTAGTGGGTGCTCGACCATGTGTGATTGCCAATGTATGGAGGGACGGTAGTGAGAATGGCTCTGGTGGATCTACAGCAGCATCTTCCTGCGGATTGCTGACAATTTGGCAGCGCTCAAGGACGGTACAGTGCCGCAGAGTTTCCCAAAGGTGGACGTAGTCTAGACCACGGCTCAGTCGTGTTGCCTCGATTTTGAGGTCAACGACAGTGGACAGAACAGTGGAAGAGAGTGACCGGGTGGTATAGAGTAGTTGAAGGTCGGGTAGCCAGAGACGTTGGATGTTAGGTGCATTGTCAAGAAAGGCCAGCATGTCCCCAGTGGGCGGCTGCGGCATAAAGAGCTGGCGAAGGGGAGGGGACAGTTTTAAGGACTGAAGGTTTGGAAGAGAGGTACCGGAGAGTGCGGTGGAGACATATTCAATGTCGCTGATACTGTGGAGCGCGAGTTCGACGTGTCGCCACCGGTGGGCATCGTTTACGAGTAAATCATACACCAAGCGCAGCGAGACGCTATCCGGCGTGAGAAGTGAGGTAGAGTGGGCCACAGAGAACGACAGAGGCTGTATTCCAGAGCGAGGCAGCCATACCCGCTTGAGCCACGCGGAGAAAGCATCGATATGGGAAGATGGGGGCACAACAATATGGACAGATGTCCACAAACGCGGTGTCGCAAGAACCAATGCGCGCCATGATTTGCACACCGAGCTAAGGAGCAGCGGCCCTTCCTTGTCTGTGATAGCACAGTTGCGGCTCTGTGGGAGGGTCTGGAGAAAGATGTTTTGGAGCAGCTCTGGCGGCATCCTCCGCATTGGCGATACCAGCGCTGAGTGCACGTCAACAAACTTCTTCAGCCGGTCTTTCTTGGCCGCAAGTGTCTTGAAAAGCGCCTGTAACCGTCTCATTTCCGCGAGGATTTCGTTGAGGCGGGCCTTGGGCGCTTCCAGGAATTGGCGGATTGTCGCGCATTCTGAATCCGTTGGGATGTAGTTGGTTTGAAGAACATGGGAGAACGGGGAAGCCAGTTCTAGACGCCAAGTAAGGCTCGTGTGCCATTGCCTGAGGGGTGGAGGCAACTGGAGACTGACCTTCAATCTGTTGAGTAGTTTCGGACATGACGGTCCGGTCCAAGATGACTCTAAATTGTGCTAGCCTGATGCAATGCACTTGCAATGCACAAAATTTCGCGCAGAATAGAGTCGCTCAGAGGAAAAGCAAGGAAGCCATAGAATTGCCTTGACCAAAACTCGACGATTATCATTTGGATTCGAAGTGGGGGAGAATCTGAAGTCACGCCACACTTCTTCTGTCTGCTCCACGACAGCCCATCCAGCCGCGCCTCGTTTCGATGCCAAAGGTTGCAGGACTCCCCGAGCAGCAAGCCGACCCCTCTCCAACGTGTCTCTAAGAAGCCGCCGACAGCGACACCGCTGGAAATTTCGTCTGTTCCAAAGCTTCGTCCTTCTTGCTCGCTCACTCAACCCTTTTCAGCAGTGAGACCCGACATCCGCGGGCGTATTAGCTGTTTGGCTTCGACACAGTGCCATGCTGAGCGTTTGAGGAAGTAATCGTGGCTTCTGGTTGCTGCTTGATACGTACTCTTCACGCCACGCATACTTAAGACAGACAGTCAGCCTTTTTTTCTCCCCTTCCTCTATGGTTTCCCGAGCGTTGACTGTCTTTTTTGTGTCTTTCATAGGCCTAGCAACAGCCGTATCTGTCGACCTACTTCCATCGACCCATGATCTCTTGAAAACCACCCCTCCACATTCACTTCCACCAGCGCCATTCTCCGCCCCCATCGTCTCCAAAGCGCCTCGAAAGAAGTCAAAGACTGCACAACTGCATTCGTTCCGCTCCAATGGCAAACCTAATACAGCACAATTGGCGGTCCTGGATGGAGCTCTATACGACAACGAGTACTTGGTCGATATAACCGTCGGCGGACAGAAGTTCAAAGTTATTGTTGACACCGGGAGGCACGTCTTTTCCTAGCTCCTGGTCCGTGGTAGCTACTGACAAGACATAGCTGGGATACCTGGGTTGCGAAAAAGGGATTCAAGTGTCTCGACCTTTCTGGTCGTCCAGTCTCGCAAGACACATGTGCATTTGGGACGCATGGCTTCGACCAAAAGCTGTCGCACACATTCAAATCCTACCCAGACACGAAGTTCTCGATTGCCTATGGCGATGGTGAATTCTTGGTGTGTGATGGCACTGCTTCTTTTCCCGTTATTAACGAAGCGTAGGATGGTGTTGCGGGGAAGGAGACGCTTAATGTGTCTGGCTTGGCTGGTGAGTATCAATCATTTCTTTCTCCTATACACCCTTTGACCATTCTTCAGTCACTCAGCAAGCCTTCGGGCTCGCTACCAAAGCAGCATGGACAGGCGATGGAATTAACACCGGTCTACTGGGCTTGGCATATCCCAACCTGACGAGCGTCAAGAGCACTCATGGAAAACACATTATCTACGACCCATTCTTCTTCACGGCTGTGAAAGAGAACAAGGTCTCACATAGCTGTCCGTCGTTTACGCTATATCGCGTTACAGCAACTGACGCTTCACGTAGATTTCTCCCTGGCTTTAAATCGGGGCCCGGAAGACAGCAAGGGCATTGACCCAAATCTTGGATATCTCTCTTTTGGGGGTATAGCCCCGGTTGCGGTCATAGCAGGGACTTTAGTCACCGTTCCGATCCAAGCGTTCACATTCGATGGACAGAACGCAGCCAATTCATCATCCAATTCTTCCTATTTCTTCTACACTGTCGACCTCTCTTCTTTCGTTTTCCCCAACTCGTCGGGCATCTCCAGCGCCAACAACAGAACCATCATCGACAGCGGGACCACACTCAACTTCCTTCCGTCGTCCGTTGCCCAGGCGTATAACGCGCTGTGGAAGAGTTCCAATTGGGAGAGCGGAGCGTGGTTTGTCGACTGCGACGAGGTTGCCCCGCCGTTCGCTGTCGAGATTAGCGGCAAGGCGTTCGCGATTGATCCCAAGGATCAGGTTGTCCATGCGGGAGTAGACGACAACGGGAAGGACATTTGCCTTAGCGGCACGCAGGATGGGGGCGATGATGTCGAGGGGAATATGTTCGTTTTGTAAGGCCTTTTCTTTGGTTGTTGTGGGTCAATTGCTTACTCTCCCCAGGGGCGATGTCTTTTTGCACAATGTCGTCGTTACCTTCGATGTACACAAGAACGAGATGACGTTCGTGCAGCGAGAAGACTACTAGACCATGGTTTTTTTTTTGTATTCTGGTATATGTCCGGACAGTCCCCGCAGTTGGCCTGTAGTCCCTCTTGTCTTGAATTATCCTGTTTCTACATATAATCCTGTCACGTGGACACAAGATCGGCCTAGCTTTTGTCTCTTGCGACAATCTCTCTCTCTAATGGCGGCCATTGCACACGTTACACATAACCTACCACTGTTTTTGGAAGGGGTAATGCCTGTCCACACCCACTCAAGCTGCGACAAATGCTACGTCTTCCAGCGAGGCAGTTGCGCGAGCGGCGCGAAACTCTTGCGGTGTGGAGGCTGCTCCATCGCGTTTTACTGTGTGAGTCTCGTGTCATGCTCCAGGCTGTAGCCGCTCAGGCTTCCCAGAGTAAAGAATGTCAGACGGCCGACTGGGGTCGCCACAAGGTCGAATGCAAGGCCACCAAATATCGGATCGCAGAGGTCAAAACCGCGTCGGGAATTGAGTCAGGCTACGCGGACTTCATGGAGTGGATCAGGTTCTACTCAGACTCTCTCAAGAATGCTTTTGTAGGGGCTCTGGGTCTGCAGACCGCGCCGCACCGCGAACGGGAGTACGTCCTTGATGTCTGGCTTTGCCACAAGGGCGTCGCGGTCACGCAGGGACCTGGCCGGCTGCCCGTCAGCAAGCGCTTCGACGTTCTAGGCGTAAGCCTGAAGGAGCCACGTGAACTGACTATCCTGCGAGAGGACTCGAACGACTTCACGGAGAGTTACCCAGATGCCTGCGTGCAAGGGAGGATTGAGCTAGGCGATGAATATTACGGAACCGGCAGGATCTCATATATGGCCCGCTTTGTCCCGGGGCTATCGTTTTCCGCCGGACACGTTGCGACAAAACAAAAAGTCTTTGCATTCAGCAAGGAGGTGGCGGGAGCAGCGAGGACGAGGGACGACTGGTGGATACTATTCCGGGAGTATGTGGCTGTTGGGGCTAAGATGAAGTTCTGTTGTGGGCGGATACCGGGATTTGAGGATGTATGCTGCTGTGGGGGCTGGGTGCATGACGAGGAGAAGAAGGTATGTCTTCTGAGTATACATTTCATCGACTCCAAATGCTAACTGGTCCAAGAACGCCTTCATCTCGCATAGGGTCTAACCACATTCATGTTGTCGTGTTCGATAATACAAAGAAACACCCATGATCTGTTCTAGAGGCCAAACCCATACACCACCCTCCCATTCCGCTTCAGCGCGTATTGAACATCCAATGCCGTGACAGTTTTGCTTCACGAACCCCTCAGACCGTTGGCAATGCAAAAGAAGCTTGACCTACCGGTAGCCATGCCCCGCATACAATGCTGCATCTTTCACAATTCGCTGTAGGAATACCCGCAATACCTCGCGCATGTCTGTGTAGATCAGGGTGGCCAGCCGTCTGACTCCGCCGCGCCGGGCCAGTCGGCGGAGAGTCAGCTTAGTGGGATCTGTACCTGGTCAATGAACAGGTAGAGGGAAAATGTTAACGACGGACGGGAAAAGAAAGCTCTGCGGGGGCGCCGCCTGTTGTCACGGTAGCACGACTGCTGTTTTGTCCGGACCTGTTGACGAGACGAGGACGATGGTTACTTAGCCTATGACTCATTTATGAAGGCTAACCATGTTCTGATTGGCGTGAAGGTTGTGGTTTAGAGCAAGGGGGAGAGATGATGCTTGTCAACTTGAAGATGATTTGCTGCAAAGCAGGTCCACCTGTTAATCCCACATCTCCCTTGTAGTTAGAATGTATGCTACAGTGCAGTGTGCATTCTAACTAGAAATGTTTCTGTAAATGGCCCTGGGCCCATGCAGCAATAAATAGAGTTTAAAGTTGCAATAAATGTAATAATTCTGGGGCCTAAGACTTGAATGCTAAGTTGGCAACCTACACTGCAATATCTACTATAAATATCAAGCTAACAGATCATTGAGGCTTGCCAAAAAAGGCAATTTCAGTTGAAAGGCAGTATAAGGTGTAGAGAGGCTCATGGACAGTGCCTGTGGTGGCCTATGTCCAAATATGGGCATGGGTTTGCATCCGTGTCTGATGCGAGAAGACCCGATGTCAATCATGACATCCTGTGTATAGCGGCAACAACAATGGAGGTGGGGGTTGGACAGGATGTAGGACCTAGGCTGAGAGTACTGTACTATTTCATTCAATTCTGCGGGCCTGTGACCTGTGACACATGTGGCAGAAATGTGCAATTCAGCCAAGGGGTGAATTTGGTGTGACCTCCTGCCTTATATGGAAGTTCTGCGCGCCGTAGGCGCGGAAACTTTTAAAAATTACCATTTTGGGATGGTTTAGGGCCAAAGAAACTTGCTGTGACCTGTGACAGGCAGAAAATTTTCGGCCAAAAAAGTCAAGGTGACCGTGACAGGACTAATTGATTGAAATAGTACAGTAGCAGTTTTTTTAATAGAGATATGAATATATCAAGCCATATGTGGTCAAAAAGCTATTAGAATTGGTATAATACTATTGTGCAACTTGAAGCTGACATACACTAGTGTTAGTGAGCACTGAAGGCGTGAAAACTTTGATAAATTCTTCGATTTGGGGGCCAAAATTGCAATATACTATAGGTACACACACTGTTTGGAAATACAATTTTTTTTCCCTAAACATTCACTCCTTGTCAAGCAGGGAAGTGCCTGACCAAGTAGCAAGTAGTTGAACAGTGGTGATGTGTTTGTCACGGATAAGACCCGGCCCGTCCGCTCCGGCGCTGGTGTCAGGCCATTGCGGGCCCGTAACACGCAGCACGTGACGACGGGGAACATGCGCCCCAGTAGGAGGAACGCACACGTGGGAAGCACGTGACCGAGAACGACGCGTCGAGCCGTCGCCGAGCCCAACTCGACACCAGGGGACTGGGGAGGAGTGCTAGGAGGTCAGGAGTAGCGCCTGGCCCGCAAGGGATGTGCGATCGTCCCCTCTGCGGCCAGGAACCGGAGCGAGGAGGAGGAGGAGAGGCCAGGGTGTCCGATCACCCCCTTTGCGGGCCCGCGTATATAAGGAGCGATAGTGTACCCTGTACTCTATCGCTTAGATCGTCTGAAGAACTACCTTACTCCGTGTGAGGAGACGCTATCGACTCATCGGGCCCGACACGACCCGATTCGAACCATCGACCACCAACTACGACAAGGGACCGAGTTCACGGGCCCTTTCGGTTTCGATCTACACCGCCCGCCGTACTTGCGGGCCCGACTATCCGTCTGTTCTGTTCCGGGCGCGCGTTCTTAGGAGAAGTCCTTGCACGGCCCGACCCGCAGTCTGACAGAATCTAAGCGATCCCCCTACACCCGCAACAGAATGGACACTACCACCGTCATCGCACTCCCGGCGTGGGCTACGATAGTGGCTATCGTCATCGCCTCCCTTGCCTACCTATACGGGCGCACCCTCGAAGCCCAACCCGTGGTCTTCAACCGCGTCCTCTACGGGAGAAAGGAGCCCGCTCTGAAGTGGGGCACCCCTAGGCGGGTCTCCCTGGACGAGCACCATCGGCACATGGAACACGCCTGCCCGGCCCAGGGTGCCGGGCCCGCCACAAAGCGTCGACGCCTCAACAACTCACCGCCCCTCCCCGCGTACGGCCGGACCCCCGATCCAAATCGTCTCGGACCGCCCCGGGCCACCGGCACACTCTGCCTGATGAAATGAGGCACACCTCCCTCCGTATGAAGGCCCTGGGGGCCATCCTTATTCCTCTCATAATCTGCTCTATTTTAACCTTTGGCGGGGCCCTCGGGCCCCTAATAATAAAATCTCCTGTTTTTACCCACCACATGACGAACGAGCGCAAGACGACTGGTTGATTGCAAAAAAAAAAAATACAAAAAAACACGAACGAAACAAGAAACAAGACGTAGTCCGAACCACCACGGGGAAGTCCTACGGGAGGGGCCGACTTGACAAGGCGCGCGAACGACAACAGCCAACGAAAGGACGGGGATACCCGAACGCCGAGACCCGAGTAGACGGGGAACTCCGGCCGATGTCGCCGAAAGACGACCAACGACCCGCCGAAGCCTAATCCAGGTCCATCATGTCGAAGCTCAGGCCGTCCTGACGGCACACATTCGCATACACCTCTCGTTCAGCGGCCCGACGCTCTCCCGCGGATCCATTCTTGGCTGAAGGTCCGTCTTTGTTTGAATGTCTGTCCTGATTAGGAAAGCAAGGCTCACCTCATGATGCGACAGAGGCAACCTCACACCACGATACTCGCAGGCTCACGGCGCGCCCGCGTGAGATTCGCGTCATTGCCCAGTTTGGACAGTGATACTGAATCTGCTGACGTCTCCTTGGATCCCAGTGACAGCAATAGCCTGAGCGACGCAGAATCGGCAATCAGCAATAGCCTGAGCGACGCGGAATCAGCGATAACCATTTCTGACGACGATGAACAAGTGCCCCCGACCACCAACGAGCCCTCTATTCTTCCGGAGAGTGCCATTCAGGCGCGCCGCGAGCCTGTTCGCGAGTATGTATACTCCACACCTACTACTCAGCCGCGTTGGACCACTCACTGGTAAGCCATCTTATGATTCTCATCAGGTCTCCACGCAACGTGATTAATGCTCAGGTCCCAAGCTGCTGACGCCAGCCAAGGTGTTTCGGGAGGCCGGGTCCAACGCGTGGACGAGCGGAGGTCGTTGCCGCCCGTCGCCATTCCTGGCTGTTGGGTGGTATTTTGTGGTCGAGTAGTGGGTGTTTTCGACGTTTGGTACGATGGCAATTAAACTCACCACTGCAGCTAACCACAACGCAGGAGGCGTGTCGAACTCTCAACTACCGGTTTCCGTTTAGCCGTTTACAAGTCATATGTGGATCCGACGATTGCACAGCGGGTATTTGCCTGCGCAGTTCGTTTGGGCTACACAACGACGACGCCCCCGACCGCGTGGGGTACTCCCCATGCCCATCGAACGGACACCGCGAGGCATGGCCAGTGCGACGGACACAATCAGCCCGGATCGCCTTGAGGCACGTGTGCCCAATGAACCTTGGTATATTGTCTACCGAGGGGTTCACCCTGGAGTCTTTCCGACTTAGTGCGTGCCAGGAATCACGCTTTTGGTCCAATCCACTGACTTTCTGACCATAGTCTTGAGACTGTGCTGAATACTGCTGGTATCAAAAACTCGCACCACGACCGCCGTTCTACACTTGAAGATGCATTGGAGGAGTTCCTGGGAGCACGCCAGCGGGGTGAGGTCTACGAACAACGTATCCCAGCTGGTTCTCGTAGTAGACGTTGAATAATACATACAAAATACATTGCAAGAAAAAAGGGAACGACAGCAAAAGGGACAAACAGCGAGAGCAGAAACCTAAACCACTAAACCACAGAGCGCGACACCTGTAGCAGGGACTTGGCAGCCTCTCGATGTCGAACCTTGACCGATTTCATCCTCTCCCATTCCTCTCCCCAAGCCCGCAGCTCCTCGTCGGCCTCGATCAGTTGCTTTCGCTCGCGCGGCGCCGCCTGTCGCGCTCAAGCCATGCTTCAAGGCCATATGTTTCCACGTATTTTCTTGCCCGGTGCCTCGCGCTTGCGTTCGGCGATTTCTGCGGAATGCCTTCTCGCACGTCAGTGGTGTTTCGAGGAACGGCCACATAGCTACTTCTCTCGATAGATGTGACTGCGTTCTCGCGACTGTCGACGCTCTTCTGCCTTGCTATGCTCTTCGCCTGACATTTGCGCCCGTCGCCTAACGTACATTGGATGAGTATAGCAGGGCAGTACGAGTGAGTGTGTATACCGTGGTTTGCCGTGCGCTGCACCCTCAGCAGATTCTTCCGGATGATTACGCGCCCGATACCTGGCAGAAGCTTGGCGTCGAGCTAGAATGGTTGAGGGATGGCGCGCAATCTGTGACTTGCCAGGGAGGCAGCGAGAGCGAGTGTGGGTCGACATAGTAGGTAAAAAGAAAAGATCTGTGGGTGATGTCACGCTGATGAAGCTGCAAAAGGCCGCAAAGATTACTCGCATAAGCCTCTGCAAGCCAGTGTAGCTTCGGGCAGATGCTTCTGGGTGCTCATATTCCATTTTGTCAACAACTTTGACCACTGTCCTTCTCAAAATTTTGGGTTGTGTGGTACTTCACAAACGAAATTTGGCGCAAACATCAGTTGTCTACTCGAGCGTGAAGACCTGCGACTCTATCCTACAATAAAATCCGGAAAAATGTATTTAAAAAAAAGGGACATGCAGAGAGACCTAGAGGACATGACTGGCTGGTTTCCTTGGCTTAAACTACCTGGTGTCTGACCTAGAAGCCACTCGCTACTGTTAATGAGGCGGCGTCACGGAGAGGCCAACCCGGGATCACGGTCAATCGAAACGATCGCCAGGCAGATAAGCGCCTACAAAACCAAGTCTCTCACTTCAAACTCTCAGTGAACTCTCAATTAACATTAGGCCGAATGAAACATATCGAATGCTGTCCATTTTCTTTTTGGCGTCGCCCGAAAAACAAACATCATAAACTACATGATACTATTCGAAGTCGAAGCCGCAGGAGTATTGTCGCCCATTGGCGCTAACCCAAACGATGAATCTCGCACAGGGAAGGTCATTCCCCTCCAGCTCACCACTACTTTGCTCTCATTGTTCCACTCCGGGTACTCCGCTGCATAGGCGGCTTGCAGAAGTGCATCACAGACGGCAACGCTTGCGGGAGGAAAACGCAGAGTCATCTGCATGCACGTTGGCACGGGGCATCTAAAGCTCGTTTGAAAGTGCTTGCGGATGCACACGAAACAGTAGATATGGCCACAACGATTGCTGGAGAGGGAGATGAATGATCTTCAAGTTCTAACACCGCAAAGAAAACTTACATGACGGGGGCACAGAGCAAGTTTTGGCACATGTTGCAGCAATGAGTGGGATTGCGCCTAGATGGACTGGGCGGAGGTCTCGCTGCTGATGCATATGCCTGCGCTTCGGTCCATTGCAACGCAACGTCATCGCGATGACCCTCGGTCAGGATAGGCGAAACCAAGCGAATGCCTACTCGAAAACGTGAGCTGGTCATACTTTAGATTCCCATAACAAACAGACCTGATTTTTTCACTAGGAGTCCGTCAGTCGTTGGCGGATGGTGAAGACAAACAAATTGGACGGTACCTGGATTCTTTGGCTTGCTCTTCACTGGTTGTCGCTGAGAATCCAACTTAGCGCGTCGACGTGAGGATGCTTCAAGTTCTCGGCGGCGAATATCTTCAGCAAATACAATGGGCGAATCTGTGAAATAATTTTGGCTCAGCTTGCGACCGAACAAGTCCCCAGCCCACAATCAGAGCATTCAGCGTCAATGTAGAGACCTGGATGTCGATTAGCTGAGAAGAGCTACAACTTGTTCGAGCTGAACCTACCCGGCAGCAAAGGAGACGACGAAGACCCCATGCTCGGTCCGCAGTGATGTTGGGGGCAGGACAGGAAAGGAATGAATAGACGGCGCGGATTTAGGCAAGTGCTGTCGTCCAAGATCGAGATCGAGTGTACCCCCATTTGATATCCCAGCGAAATCTACCCCGCGCGTGCCTTAGTTGCCAAGTGAGGACTTGTTATTTTTTTTTTCCCCGACAACAAATGGACATCATCATTGACACGACTTCAAGTGGTAAATCACAAAATTTCTACACTAGATAGGCCGCCCCTGATTCGTCGTTGCGACACTGTGAGAGCCAGAGTAAGACGACCCGTTGCGCGTCTTCCTTCCCCTCCTTCGAGTAAGGCATCGATTGCAAAGTCCTTAGCAATGCGGGATAGTCGGTCTGTCCAATGTTGCGCAGCCGCATCATGTCCTCCTCGTCCTCGAGCTCCGACTCGGACGGGAACAGGTGGGCGACGGGGTGCGCAAGCTGGACTACACCCACGGTACCCAAGCAGGTTCGCAGGCCGCTGGTGACCAAGCTTAAAGACTCGCAAAGCGATTTCAAGTCCTCCCTTTCGAGGATGGCCTGGACGGCGCGGTTGCGATGGCGGAATTCGGCACGGTCACCATGAGGACAAATCGGGAGGACCACGTAGATGGCACGAGCATTTTCGAATATTTGCATTTGCAGGGCCGTCGTGTCCTCGATCGAGGCAGCACAGTGATGCTGGCAGTGAACACAACTCGTCAGGTCCAAGTCACCAGGGAAGGATGTATCGAGGACGTTGTGAGTGGCGAGGAGGGGCTCCTGTCGCAGGTCGACGGCCAAGTGAGGGCGAGGTGGTCGACGGGGTGCTCCACGATGCGCAGAGACAGGCAACGGAGGGCCAGTGGGATACACTCGGTACTTCGGCGTGTCTTGATTGTCGAAAAACATCCATACACCCACCAAAGGCTAAGTCTGTGGTCAGTCTCTGTCGTCGACAGCGGCAAGACCGTGACCCACCCGACCTGCGCGTCTGTAACTTACAGCGCGATCGTCGCAGAGCTCCGGATGTAACCCCACGGGCAGCAGTCTCAGGCTGAGTGCAGAAAAGTCGGAAGTCATTCCGTGAAGAGGGCTGGAAGGGGGGGGAGGGAAGAAAGAAACGAGAGTGGTTGGTCTCGAACTCCCCCAAATTTTCGCTAAAGTTTTGATATCGCCTTGCGTGTACATGCGTGATGATTGAGTGAGGCACGGCATATTACCCGTGACGCCGGGCGTATCTATCGGACTCGTGACGACCCATCTTTTCTCTTGCCAAGTCGTTCTAATATGTTCCATGGTTTCGTCTCGCGTTTAGCCGACGACACCAAAGGTCATAAAAGTCCCCGATGGTCCACTCCTCCCCCCTCTTTTATGGCTACTCCTCGTCAACGACAAATTACCGCATACTTCCCTGTTCGTCAAAAAAGCGCTCAGGTATCTCGCGCATTCATAACCATACGCACTCTGATTTTTTACAAGGAATCCCACGCGGCAGCGACAATCCCTGCAGAGGACTCCGACGGTGATGTCGAACTCATGGACGCACCTCACACTGGACCGCCGGAACGTGGACTTCGAGGTTTTTTTTTCTCTTAACTTGATATAAACGCAGAGCTAACCACTTGAGTGCTTAGTTTTGGCTGAACCTTCCTTGCAACACCCCAGGCAACACTCGTGGTCGCGACGCTGCCTCTGAGTCCCACTCCGATTCTGACGACGACAGCCGGGCCAGCGACGATACCAGCGACGACGGCCGGTTGGCCTGCGATGCCATTCGTTATCAGCAACGTAGTCTTTCACATGAGGAACACTGGACGTCTCGACTTGCACGCCAACAGTCATTGGGGGCCGAACCTCTTGAATGTACCTGGCGCATGTCCGCAATTTCTGGCGACATCAAGCTTTTCCGCTGTGCCGCGAAAGAGGCTTGCATGCGCGGCCTATATGCCTGCGACTCTTGTACATTACTGGCCCACGAACATCAGCCCACGCACGGTTTTGTCGAGGTGAGGCCCTCGAATGCAATTGACTAGTCGCACTAAGTACTCTGTCAGGAATGGGATTCGGAAACTTCGTGGCTGGCAGCGCATACCAATCGCTCATCTTGGATACATCTATCAAGAAGGGCATTCAAGCGTTATGGGTACCTGTCCCAACCCTTCAGCGGGCACGAAAAAGTCGCTCATGCCGTCTCCTTGGGGTGAATTCGTCCTCGAAGCTCGCGGCTGCGAATGCCCTTTGCCTCCCATCATCACATATGACCTGGCTTGTCAGTGGGAGGCAAAGCGAGCTCGTTGGATCGAGAGGATTTCAAATCACAATGCCACCCGTCGCCCCCACAATATTTGACTTCTGTTTCTCTGATTTATCGCTCATACATCTACATTCGCGCCGCCCTACCTCGTTTTTTACATTCCTTTGATTTGTCGCTCTTACATTTACATTACATTCGCCCCCCCCTCGTTTTTGCATGCAATCCTCAGTAATAGTTTAGTACGACTTGTGTTTTGTGGCCTAGCCAAAAAAATCCATCCGGTCGTGTGACATGTGTGACTGGACATTTTTCACTCAAGTGTCCTCCTTGAGGAGTCGGGTGTGGTGGAGGAAATGATGCCGGTAAGGCGTCCTGCTGTTCCTGACCATCACAACCCTTGCTGACATGGCTCGTCGAGGTCGCCGCAGCGTGTTGGAGAACTTGGGCGATGTTATATACGACATACCGCTGATGAGCGTCCCACCTGGCGACCACCAGGTGCACGTTTCTGAAGATGGAGCCAGAGCCTATACGCAAAAGGTCTCGCTGGTGAATAACGGCACAGGCTTTGGGGTTGACGAGCTAGCGGAAGAGGACATCCGTCTAGCTGGCTGGACCCCTCTTCTCGCGCCAACTGGGTCTGACTTGCGCGTCATAGCGCAGACCGTCTCATCATACGACACACATCCGGATGACGAGGAGGGAGCCGCGACGGAAAAAAGAAAAAGATATGCCAGCTCTGTGAGTGGTAGTCAGGGATATCGCTGTTTTACTTATTGCTTGCCCATAGGACGACCCTCTTTCTGTCTGGCTGCCCCATGCGCCTCTGTTTCTGGACGAGCTGATCCGTCGAGAGGGTCTCGGCGACTTCATTCACCACCCCAAATGCGCCTTTTGTCCCGCTAAATATGGTACACCAGATGTGCGCCTTTTCAAGTGCAAGCACTGCGGGGAATACTTGCAATGCCACAACTGTGTCGTCACTCAGCATATGAGACAACCTCTGCATGTTGTCAAGGTACGTTTTCGAGGGCCTACCCCCGATGAAGCGACTAACATACTGCGCCTAGGAATGGAACGGAGAATTCTGGTCGCGAACTTTGCTGCATTCGCCGTTGCGAGGTCCCGAAGGAGAGAAGGGACTGGGAATGGTATTCCAACTCGGGCATCATGGTTTCCCGTGCGCAAATCCCGGAACCATAAAACGCATGGTCATCGTAGATGTCCGTGGCGTCTTTACCTTGGCGACGCAAAGCTGCAATTGCAATATTGGCCAGCGGCGCAATATCCTGCAGCAACTTATTGCACATGGCTGGTATCCAGCAACGACTACGGACCCAGCCACCTGCGTAACCCTGGAGGCGCTCGAGCTATTTCGTCTTCTCAAGGTAGTCGGGAATGTCAACGCACACGATTTCGTAGGAAGTTTGGAGTGCTTAAACGATCCTGCGAGAGTGGAGACTACACCCGTAGGTTTCTCTTTTTGGCAAGTGGAGGACGAAACTGAAGATCGTGCACAGGACCGATATAAATCTTTTCTTCTTTGCGCTCGACAGCATGCGTATCTCATGCAAGCCAAGCGCGCCGGTCGCGGACATGAAGAGAATGGCCTTGAGCTAACTCCGAAAGGCGGCTTATACGTAGAGTGCTGGGCTTGTCCCCATGATGGGCGAAATCTTCCTGTGGGGTGGCAGAACGTGAAAAGTGGACAAAGGTATGTTGCAGAAGGCGCAAAGAACTAAAATTCTGAGACTCTTTTTTTGCAGTTATCTTTACAAGCTCATGTTGTCTGTTGACGCCAACTTCCGACTGAAAAATCGTTTGCGCAAGAACCAACGAAGTGACCCGGCTTTAGGAAGAGGTCAAAGTTATTTTGTGGAGAACGAGGCGTATCATCGACATCTTAAGGACTATGTGGCTGAAAAAGACGTAAGCATTCGACTCTTAACGGGAATGAGTTATTGACAAGGATGTTAGGTGACTACTTGTGCTGCTTTCGCCGCGCTGATGCAGAAGGACACGAAACTTACCACTGGGCTCCGGGTTTCAGGTGTGGGAGGGGTTATTTGTGCTCGTCATGGTCTGGTTCGACGTCGAGGCATCGGAGACTTGCAGAAAGGCGAACGGTATGTCTGGTTATGAGGCCCCATTCTTCTCATTGCTAACGGTTTTAACAGATATGCAAACATGGATTTCATTGTGCTCGCAACCTTGGAAGGCGAAACGATCACCAGCGTTACCATCTCATATGATGTGGTTTGCCAATGGCAAGTGCTCTGGCCGACTTGAGCTAAGCGCATTATCCAGCGCGGAGACATCCAGGTCGACCTCTCAGCCATCACCATCCAATATGCTCTGCCTGTTTGGCATGCATCGGCTCACGAAACATCTTGCCGCTCGAACAATACGTTGAAGTACGCATGGGGTGTGGGGAAAACAGACGGAGAAGGCATCGAGAGGACTTGGTCCCTTCTAAATCCAATCAGCTGGTCAACGAAGGAAATGGGGCCGGGTGGGCAACAAGACACAATTGAGGATAAGATCGACCACCTAAATTTCGGGAAGAATATTGGTTTAGGTGAGTAAATGCGATTATTGTTACGGGGTGACGAAGACAAAACTAATTTTTGGATAGGCAGTACCCTCATGCGAAAGCTCATCGTGGCCCTGGCGGAATCGGCTACTCAAGACGAGGAATTCGCGGAGATGTGTGAAAACGTGGCCTCGGACACCCTCAAAAACTGGGAGGCGACTGTAAACGAGTGGGAAGCAGACCATTCGAAGCCCAACCCTTACCTTGTCGTTGGGGGGACAGAAGGTGAGAACGAAATGAAGGCTTGGAAAGCTTGCTTATCCTGTGTGTTAGCTGGACCCTCTGAACGCGACATACTGGCTGATTTGAAGGCAGCCGAGCTGGAAGACGTCAGGGCTGGGCTCATTCCCATGATGGAGGGGGGGAAAATGACGGCTGCTGCGTTTGTGAAAAATGGGCTGGTAATTGAGGAGTCTCAGTAAGTCGCTGGCAGATAGCCTGTCGTTTCATGCTGATTTGCTTTGATTTCAGACGCCGGATTTTGGCCGAACTGGAATCAAAAACACTTCTGTCAGCAGATCGTTCTGGAGCAATTCAAGAACAACGATTTGCGCTTTTGAAGAAGCTAAAATCGTGGGAGCAGTTGCAACTCAGCTATATGCCCGGAGCAGAGGAGTTACGGATAGCAGAGGACAATCGTCGACCGGCCGAAGTCGCTCCACCGAAAGCCGAATTGACGAAGCTCTACTTCCCATCCGACATTGTGCTGCCACAGCGAAATGTCATTTGCGCACGGGGTGTTATCGAAGCAGAGGCAAAACTTCGTATGGGGCAGTGTGCAGATGCTCTCACAAGTCTGCGCGGGTATCTATACACGCAAGCGCATCTAGTCTATTGGCGAAATGCGAATTCGGTGGGCCAAAAACAGTCCACGCGGTCGGCAACACTGTTGGCAAGAGTGGGAGAGAGAATTAGGAGGGTCTCGGCCAAGTATCGAAGAGCTTACGAGGCTCTGGTTGCACTGAAAGGCGTGGACTTCGCGCCGCAATTCCGAAAGCTGGAACCGGGCGACATTAATAAGCGCGCGGAGGTGGAGAAGGATATTCAAGCAATGAAGAAACTGCGAGCTGCAGAATCGGGACGTGCCTCGCGAAACGAGCCGACTCAGGGAGCGCTGAATGCAACAACATCGTGGATTTGGACTGTACAGGGAGGAGTCGATCAAGCTCTGCACGATTGTAGGTTTCTTCTTGTGTTTTGGTCGGTCTTGATTCTGAAGGTCACACAGCCGTACGAGTGGATTGGAGCAAGGCCAGAGCTCGCCGAGACCGGTGGCGGGAAGAAGTTGCATTGTTACGGGAAGAAATGAAGCGTGTTTTACGCAGCTTGGCGACAATTCAGCGCGATTGGCGGAATAGGATGGAAGAACGAAGTGGGGTCGACGTAGGATTGGCTTCAGGCTTGAAGGCTTACGCGCAAAGCCAGATGGCTCTATACAAGGCCGTGGGGGAGTCGTTTTTTGCTAGTTGGAGTCAACCGGCACTGGGAGCGATTGCAGCGGCTCAGAGTCCAGATCTTTTGCGGGGACTGCTGGAGGGAACGGCAGAAGAGATATTGGAATTGGATATAGGCACGGAGGAGACCGTCCCGCCTGAGAGGGTGGGGGGAGAAACAGAAGTAAACGCGACACCGCGATACGCGACGAGGGCGCAGGTGCGGGCGAGGGAAGGCGTGGAATAAAAATAATAATTTTGTTTATTTTATATGTCTAAAACATGTTTTTTTTTTTTTTTTCGCGGCTAGGTGCGGCGCCCGAATAAAATCTGTGTCCCGAATGATTGAGCCCGCGATGGATCTTGGCACTGGCTGGCTGTCCCAAGCGAGGGTGAAGCCTTTTGCGCTGGCCCCTCCAGGCGGGGTGGAGCGGCCAGTGGGAAAGCAATCAAATTGGCTGGACAGCTCCACATGTGAAGCCTTCAGATTACTGCCAAGGGTGTTCGGAGGGCCTTCATGCGGCAGCATAAGTCGCAAGTCGCAACGTAGTGTCCAATATGGCGGGACATCTGTGGCCACCAGTAGTTGCCCGAAACCAGTTCTAAGGTCTTGAACCGCCCGGCATGTCTGGCGACTCACGTATCGTGGCAGAGCTCAATGATGAGGTCCTTGTCCTTGGGGACTACGATCTTGCCGCAGAAGTACAAAAAATCACCCGAGACAGCCCATTCGTCCGAACATGATGAGCGGGGGCCCCGAACTTGACCTCGGACCTTCAAGAGTTGCCAGGCTGCAAGCGCGACAGGCTCCTCTAGGTCAGGCTCACCGGATAGCACTTCCTTGATGTCGCGGAAGAGGGTGACCTCTGAGTTGTCCTTGGAGATGCCGCGATCAGGCCGACGGGAGAGGGCATCAGGGCGGCCCATCTGGTGACTGGGGACATGGTGTAGCGTGAAGTCGAAACGAGAGAGGTACAGTGACCTGGACCATCGGGCTTGCCAACGGTTGAGGTGCTGCGCCTTTCGGAAGTACTCCAAGTTCTTATGGTCAGTCCAAATCCACAGGAGCTTCCTGACTATATTATTATATATAGTACCTATGATTCCATTGTACAACTCAATATATATATGTGCTCTGATTCTGTAGTGCAGACACTTGAACCAGAATCAGTCACTGCTGTCTTAGGCTGCTGAACCCTGTGAGTCACCTGCACAGAGGCAGCAACCATACATATAGTGCAGAGCAAGAGGTGTCAAATTCGGGCGTCCAGCCTACCCGAGATCAAACATAAATTTGATTGGCAGCTCCGGCGCACTGCCATCCATCGCCGGCCCACCACACCAGTTACTGTAGCATTTTATTCAATTCGGCGCCCGAAATCGGTGTGACATCGGCGCCGAAATGAAATTTTCGGCGTCCGGCAGCTCCAAGTGTGACCGCCGAAAATTTTAGGCAGATTTCGGCGCGGCCCGCAGGGCCGCGCCAGCCAAAAATTTATTGAAGCAACCAGAAATATGTGAGTTAGTCTAAATTATGGACATGTTGACTGTTCAACCATTAGTGCCTTGTTTTTGTCTCCTCCAATGGGTAATCCAAACAATGTCATTTCTTGTTGAGCTCCGGTGGACCGGTGGCCCCAAATCGAGCCTGCCGGCCCCGGCCGCCATCAACTTTACGTTTGATTTCGGGTAGGCTGGACGCCCGAATTTGACACCTCTTGGATATTGAGATTGATGATGCAGCAATGAAGTGGCTGCCATGGATGGCGAACCGGGATGTGTTGTGGAACATTTGCGGGCCCTGGTCGTGCCCGGACGCGTCAAGATTTATTTAACAAGTCGAAAATACATTTTCTGAGGAGACTCGAACGGGCGACCTGTCGGGCCGGCTCCGGACGGTGCTGGTCGGATAGCTTTTTCTCTTGATATCACCTCCAGCAACGACTGAAGTCACCATCTTTGCCTCGGGCTGTTTCTGGGGCACCGAGCACATCTTCGTGAAGCATTTCCCGCCCGCCAAGGGCATACTCAAGACAACGGTCGGGTACACGGGCGGGAAGGAGACTTCCACAAATCCAGACTACCGCACCGTCTGCAGCGGCGCAACAGGCCACGCCGAGGCTGTCCGCATCGAGTTTGACCCAAATCTCGTCAGCTACGCCGAGTTGGTAGAGTTCTTCTACCGCACCCACGACCCGACGACAGAGAACAAGCAGGGGCCAGATGTCGGCACGCGTGCGTTGTTGACCCACTCCGAGTACTTCCTGCTAACTCGCTTTCTTTCTCAGAATACCGCAGCGCTATCTTCACCACCACCGCCGAGCAGGCCGCCACCGCCAAGCGCGTGACGGAGGAGGTCCAAGCGAAGCATTTCGCACCAAACGTCAGTCTTTCCCGCCGTCTCGCCTCCATGCTCCTCCCATACCACTTCCCGCAGGGCACCGCCATCGTCACGCAGATCCAGGAGGCCGGGCCGTGGTGGGATGCGGAGGAGTACCACCAGCTCTACCTGTTTAATAACCCCAACGGGTACCAATGCCCGACCCATCGCCTGCACTGGTAAACCTGAATGATATTACTTGTATTCCTTTCCTCTGCTCTTGGCAACGGCTAGGCGGCGTCTCCCAAATTTTACCGGTAACTTGAATCCACTGACATACCAAGTGCTTTGTAGATGATACCATAATACCGACATGCGGTCAGAGTGTTGCTCGCTCCGGGCAGTGAAACAAGTTCGAGTGCGCCGATTCCTGAACCAGTCTCTGGACCAGTTTTAACACAGCTTTATGCTGCCACGACAGAGCGGCGCGCTCATGCGCAGGCATGCAGTGGAATGAGTGCTTGCCTTATTGCTCCAGACCCAGCAACTTGAACTTCGAAGGCTCTAGAGCGCATACTTAGTGAGTGCCTATCGCTCCGTACAAGCTCTCAGTCTGAAGAACGTCGGAATAACATAGACTGGAAGATCAAGTACTACATAGTAACTGACTCGTTGACACTGAATTCCGATTCTCAGACCCTGGCGGGACCCGGAATGATCTCTTTGACACTGAATTCCGATTCTCGGACCCTGGCGGGACCCGGACTGGTCTCTTCCTTTTGAGGTACCTCGCGCGCTCAACGCCATCTAAGCGCAGCCTGGCAGGCCATACGAGGTCACGCCGCGTCACGGCATCGACGATGATCATCCATATAAAAACAGTCTCTACCTTGAGGTGGGTTCATCTTGAAGCTACTTCAATCAATCGACTCACCATGTTGGCCACCACCCTTCTCGCTATCGCTTGCGCTGCGCTCTCAGCGACGGCATTGACAGTCCCCGGTGAGCTGCCACGCAGTTTTTCGCCCTTTCCCGGCGGTTGACACGGGGAGCAGAGAATAGCCTCGAGAAGCGCGTTGAATACTGGGGCTGCTCTGAAGAGCAGAAGGCGACGCTCGTCACTGCCGTTGCCCAGGCCCAGCGCTACGCCGACACCGCAGTGAACTATCTCGAGACCACCGGCGACACTGGGCGCTACAAGGCTTGGTTTGGCACCTACGACAAGGGCAACCACGACAACGTGCTCGCCAACTTCCGCAAGATCGCCCAGGCACACTTCGGGTCGTTCACCGCACGTCGCTCCCCCCTTCAAGTTCTCCACGATTGGCTTGCTGACCCGCCCCCAGTACAACTGCGGGTGCAACAGCGAAATCAACTTCGTGGGCGTCAATAACCCCGACAACCACTGTGGTCGTAGCGGCCTGTGACTTTCACGAAACTCAGTCACGGGCTTGGTGCACGAAGATCACAGGGATATGCCATGAAATCCACCTAGCAATAGTGGATTTCATGGAGCCACTTTCATAGACTTCAGCCCTGTGAGTGGAACGTTCCACAGGGTTGGTTCACAGTGTTACTCTATGGAATGTATCTAGTCTATACATGAATATATATTTCACATTGTTGTTGCCCACTCAGGATTTTCTTAAATTCATGAAATAGATAGATGAAAAATACTTGATAAACTAGAGGGAAAATACATGATTTCTGAATAATTAAATTTACTCCCTTCGGTGTAGCCGCTTCAGCGGCGGCTCGCCGTTCCCATCGTCAAAGCTGATCAGATCATCCTCGTCGTCCTCGTCGTCCGAGCGAGTCGAAGCAGTTCGGTGTTGGGGGACTGTGGATGGACTTGGCGATGGCGAACGAGACGATGGCTGAGATGACCCGCGGGACTCGCCATTGACAGTTGGACTATCTTCTTCTTCATCGCTATTGGCCCGGTTTTCCCGCCGCTCCAGTCGCTTGCGCCCTCGGTATGTGTTATGGTCATCAACACACCGTCCGTATGACTTATGGTTGCTGAAGGACTCGGAGGCGATTCGCTTGATGCCCCATGCATTGTCAAAGCGGTTGGCTTCGGGAAAATCAGCTCGAACCTGAGCGGCAAGTCAGTGTAGGCCATATGAGAAAGTGTTCGAGCACGCACCACATTAACCATCTTAAGGATTCTCTTGTCGCTCTGTGCATGCCACGACTTGCTTCTGTCAAGTCGCGCAGCAAATATGCCTTCACGAATGGCACCCTAGAGAGAAGAAGTCAGCGAAGACAGCATGGGTGATGCAGACGACGCACCCTGAAGGCTAGCCAGCGTGCACGACTCATGCCGAGTTGCTGCTGCATGCCCGACATCTTAGCCTTGGACACATTCTGTGGCCGTGGAATGAGGTCGTTTGTGGCAGTAGGCGGCTGTGCTTGCTCTGCACGGAGTTGCTCGTTGTCTGCCTGGGATGCCGCGAGCTGGGCTGTAAAGAATGAAGGGAGGGAACTGAGCGAGAGCGCACCACACACCTTCCAACTCCTGGATGCGAGCAGCGGCAGCATCCCCGTTGCGCTCTTGAAGCGGAGCCAGGCCCTGGTTACCGCTCGTTGTCTTGCTTCCCTTCGACTTGTGGCGGTCTTTGCGACCAGCGGGGCGGTTCTCGTCCTGCTCAGAACGACGATCTTTTGATTTGTGGTTAGCCATTGGGTTTCGGGAAGTTGGGGAGCACATACCAAGGGCGGCCGCCTTATGAGTGTCTGTGGTGTCGCTTAGAAAGTGGAGTGGGTGGAGTCGGGCAGCCGTGGGCCATTGGAGGAGGGTTTGAGGGCGATATCGACGTAGTGGTGGTGGTCAAGTCCAAGGCGAGTGGAGTGACGTCACATATGACATCAGCCGATGACTCACCCTCTTCGCGCTCCCGTGAGCTCCTGGACTTGCCGATTTGCTACTGTCCCCACACCTAACCAACGCGACACTCGATACACCATTGTTACCAACACCAGTGCGCGACGGGCGCGTTACTCGGAGACTTGGCTATCGACGAGAATAAATCTGAAATTACCGTAGATTTTCCGTGGACTACAAATCATGTACAATATCATACTATGAATTTCACAGACTTCTGGTTACGGAGAAAGTTGGTGAATTTCACGGAGCTAAGGACAGCTTAAGAACAGTCTGTGAATTGACACTGTGAAATCCGAATAGTGTGAATTTGGATTCACCCATTTGACCCATGAATTGTGGCATTCATGGGCCACTTTCGTGAAACTCATGGGGTTCTCCAACCCCAGTGAACTTCGTCATCGACGTCTGCCCCCGCTTCTTCAGCGTAGCACCCGTGGCGGGCACGACCTCCCAGGGCGGCCTGCTCCTCAACGCTGCGTCCAACTTCAACAAGCTGGCCGCAACGGATGTTTATGCGTCCGGCAAAGACGCCTCCCTGACCCTCGCGGCCCGCGACCCCCGCAAAGCGTACGTCGTGCCCCATCTCCCACCGCGTCTGACTGACCTCCGTGCAGCGCCCGAAATGGGGACAATTACGAGTATTTTGCCGAGAACGACGGTCCATCCCGCGACTAGGCGCAGACGCATGCGGCTACTTGCCCGACTGGCAATAATAAGAGTACAGTACCAGTCGTTACTAGCAGTCTACTAGCCCTGTGATTATGAATCTAATATTAGCTGTGTGAAGCATGATGTCAGGGTGCAGCATGGAATTGCTGAGATGATTCAAATGAATTCCAAGTGTTTTGGATTCAGCTGCCAAATTTAAAAATGGTTTAAGTCTAGTGCCGTTCAATTATGAAATCTTCATAAAATACTCATATTCATAAGATAATCATAGTCTTTGTTCATAACCATATCATACTACTCATAATCATTGAGTATATGTATATTTAATTATACTCAAAATATAATCGGTTATTTTCAGGCCCACTTGCCAGTGGAATACTCATTAATATTCATTATGTCAATTCAAGGGGGGTTCAAAGTTCGAATCACGGATATAGGGTCGGAAAGTTTTTTTCCGACCCCCCCGGGACCCTCCCCTCCCCCCCTCCTGCCATATATAGTAATATATTCTCACGATCAGCGTCATGTGACCACTGATGCGATCAAAAAGTGGGATAAAAAATTCAATCTTTGTGAAACTTTTTTTTGTAAAAAATTTATACATGTGTATGTGTATATGTGTAGGTATGTATGTACCTAGAGCCTTCCAACACACACATGGCAGGCCATATCAACACTCCAACATGTTCACCTCTCATCAATTACCTGATGCATGGGCCTCCGACAGAGTGGGCTATCCAAGTGCATGGGCCTGAAAGTATATAGATATAAGTAATGAGAGTGCTGAACTATAGAAATTAGAAGGTATACACTATATTTTCAGTGTCTTTATACCCATATAAGGCCCAAATCTTTTATATACAAAAAGTTTTTTTTACCCCCCAGGGACCCCCCCCCTCCCCCCTACCCCATGTGCCTGATAAGGATCTTGAACCCCCCTTGTGTCAATTGACTGATATTAGACTTATTAGGTATAAGTATATGATATATTAGAATGGCTGGTATCTATAAAACCAATCATGATGTGTGAATTGAGCTCATGGAGTCATGATAACATAATCTCATGGAATCCTACCAGCCTGACTAAATTTGCCTGGAACTGCTTCTATTTCACTGGAGAATAGCAACAGGCTTTATCAGAAATTGGTGCTATAAGACCACGCCGCACGCTCCCGATCGAGTGCCACAGACGCGTAGCTTGACCACTACCCGAGGGTACAAAGGAAACGTAGAAGGAGATAAAAGTGTGCCCTACAGGCACGCAGATGCCGCTACTTATAGTGCTTCTCCGGCACTGCCCTAACCCGGGCTCCAGCCGGCCGCAATCACATGCGGGACCACACATCACTGCGCGTCCGTCCTTCCCGATACCACTAACAGGCTTCATTCTCATATCTTGAATTTCTATAATAGGTAGAAAAAATACCTCAAAAAGATTGATTTGTTAGGAGCTAATGGGCCTGATACCATCAAAAATATGGCATAAATATAACCTTGACATAATTTAATTAAAATCTAGTTTATTTATTTACTTATAATCATATTTTCCTGGATTATCATGAAGAAGCTATGGTATTTTAATCAATTGTGCAGTGTTACAAACAACACCAATTCAGAGGATGCCAGTTGGCCAGTGAAGGCAAGCAAGAAGCACCGTGAAAAGATATCGTAAAGATGATGGAATTCGAAGACTGGGGTACAAAACGAAATCTACTCTACTTATATACACTACTACCATGTGTTTACCATGCCTAAGACAAGAGGCAATGACGTCATACTTTGGCCATGCCTTTACGTGCTGTTTGCCTCATGTTCAACTCCACGCTGTCAATCAACATCAGCATCGACATATGATGATCCAATCACCATCTTATCGTCCATCTTATCTCCTCCTTGTCTTATCTTATCAACCGGGGCCAAAATAAAAGGTTTAAAGGGCGAAGAAAAAGGGTTTTTGAACCCAGGGTTTGACATGCAGCCCTGTAACTTGTAATACATATGACAGAAATGTGCAATTCAGCCAAGGGCCAAATTTGACTTCCTGCCTTATATGGCAGTGCTGCATGAGGCATGGAAATTACCCTTTTGGGACAAAAGAAACGTGCTCTGACCTGTGATAGGCAGATAAAATTTGGCCAAAAATCCCAATCATAATTAATTAATTGAAATCCTACAGTATAATTATATTTAGTTGATTATACTCAGAATATATTCTGGCATAATATAATTGTAGGTAGCTGTAAGGGCAACTCTGGAGGTATTGTAGTCTCGTCCCCAGACATTCCAGTGGACTTCGAAAATCTCCGCAGGGAAATTTCGGAACAAGCATCAATGATATCAAAAATTTCGGGTAAGATCGGGCGACGGGAAGTCCACTGGAACGTCTGGGGCATTTCGTACCGTAGGCCGAGGATCTGTCACAATGTCACGTACTGTCACAGGCCAATAAATCCGTCTTTCCCTCCTTCTAGCAGGTTTGCGCTAGTGAGGACTGCGTTATGCATGGCTGGATGATATCAGTACCCAATATGCATCATTATCACGAAGAAAAATGGCTGAAAAGGCCCATATAGACCCCACAAAGTTCACCTCAAATGTACCACAAATCCCACATTTTTTTCATGCAAATCGAGTTCCAGTGGCTGTGGAAGCCTCCCAATGCCACACTCCATGCCATTCTGGGGCTGAAGGAGCACAAGAAGGCTGAAAATAGAGGGCTGTGACAGACCCTCAGTCGCCTGTACGAAATGCCCCAGACGTTATAGAGGCTTTTCCCGCATCACACTTTCACAACAATTTTTGATATCACTTGAGATTGACAGATTTTGATGATATACCATTAGCCTGGTTCTATCTACTAGGATGGTGATGCGGAAAAGCCTCGCTGAACGTCTGAGAACGAGACTAGAGGTATTGACACTTGTGCTCAGCTTTACCCGGGAGGCCTGCTGCACAGAGCTAAGAATTGGTCTCCATTGTTATTAAATAATGATTTAATGATCAACATCATCAACAAATCCCACTGGAACATGCTCAGTCCCACAAATTGGGTGGGAGTGGGACTAGCACGAGTCCCACTCCCATCATTCTCGTGTCCTAGACAGTAGAGCTTCCATCTGAGAAAAAAAAAGTTTAAAAATTAAGTATTAAGAAAATTTCCTTTTTTGGATGTCACATGGCTTATGTAAATAGGGTAGGGAGGGTCCAAAATTCCTTATTGCACTTTTTCAATCCAATGTCGGGTATTTTTTTGCACACACCCCTTGACAAGATCTAGCACACAAGCCCAGTGGACCCCAACTTGAAAAGCCACTTTAAAAGCTCACGGTTCATACTAAGCGTGATGCACTATTTAGAAATTGGAATGTGCCAGTGTTGCTTAGTCTCGAGCTTGCCATGTCATTCAACACCACGATGCAGATTTCCATTTTTCTACTCCACATTCACATTGTTCATTTACAGTTTCAACTAATACACTACAAGCATTCACTTTTTTCAGTATGTCTCAACATAGACCTCCTCCGTGAAGACCTCGTTGTGCTTCTTCTTGGCTGTGGACATGTCAGTAAAGCGATCGGATAGGAAACAGTCGTATGAGCGCACCCTCATGCTTAGCCTTCTCCTTGTCAACGAAGTCAAGCTGTAATAAGGTTAGTGTCGATTGATTTGGACGGGTCAGATCGCGGCATGTGAAGACGAGATAGCTGATCGGGATGACGCCGTGACGACGCAGCGACAGGGAACAGGATCATGCAGCATGGGGAATGGGAAAATGGGGAAGGCAAAAGAACAAGATTGAAGGCAGTCGGACTTACGCCCTTGGTCTCGACGATGTGGTCCACGAAGGCGCCAGAGAAAGCGGCTAGGAGCTCCTTCGCTTTGGCGTGGTTGTCGGGCTTGCCGTTGGCAGCGACGTGCTTCTCGTACGCCTTCGCGGCCTAATCGATCGGTCAGCCATCATCGGTAGAGGAGAAAGGCCCAAGGGACTCGGAGAACATACCTCGTAGGAAGCGGCAGCGGCGATGAGTTCGTGGGAGAGGGCAGCCTTGTGCGGGGCCTGGGTAACCTACGAGGGCGTCAGCGATCCGTGCTCAAGTGAGCGATAGCCCATCGATGGCGTCATCGCCAACGCGAACAACAGACCTCCTCGTAGGCTTTGGCCTCGTCAGACTCGTGGTGGTGGAAAAGGCCCATTGTGTGAGTGGTGGTAGTGCGGTAGTGGTAGTGGTGGTTAAAAACAGGGATGCGGAGAAGAAGCGGCTGTATTTATAGCACGTCGAGGGGCACAGCATGATAATGGCATCAGCCGGCAACGAGCAACTGTCAATCGCGCGGGCCGGCCAAAAATAAAACAGTAAGGTGGTTGTGTGCTTGGCACCCGAATGAACTGAAAATTTGGGCCTTGGCAACATATGCGCGACGTTTGTGTCTGTGTCCTCTGCCTCCTTGCTCTGGCTCGCCTTGCCCGACAGTGGCCTGGATCCTGCTATGCAACAGCCGACCGCCCCTGTGGCGAAATCGACACGCATGCTTCGTTTCTATTCGGCACTTGAGCGCGTTGCAGTGGCTCATCGTGAGTAACTCTGGCGTGGAAGTGAGCCACCAGAAGCACGGAGCGATATCTGCCCGACGCCGCACTGCCCGTTGCGAATTCAAGTACCGCGGTAGCCGGTCAGCGTTATGGTTCACTGGCCCATGCGCAGAGATGATGGGTACTAAGGCATAGCAATGCAGAAGAGCCTCAGAGTCACTGTGACTTATGATGACTGCGAGGGTACCTAAAGTAACGAGTCACATTTGATGGGCCTGGCCCAGATGCGCTGATTGATGTGCAACTAATTGGTCAGTCATATCTAACCCACGTTTGAGCCTTGAAAATTTACAATGATTTGGAGAGTGAGATATACATATGATGATCTTTGCCGACAATCTTTCTAAGTCTTTCTAGGGACCTTCTCCTTCCATAATGCTTCCATCTCGGATACAAATACTTACACGTGACCTCGGGCATCCGCGACGTGACGCGTGACGCATCACCTCATCCCTCTTTGATCCCTCTTCCGCTCGGTCCTTTCCTCCGTCAGCCTCGATGATTCGGTTCATCCTCGTGCAGAACCGACAGGGGAAGACGCGGCTTTCGAAGTGGTATGTGCCGTATGACGACGACGAGAAGGTGCGCTGCCACCGTTGTGTAGATAATCCTCCTAAAGACCGAGTAGGTGCGACTGCGCGGGGAGGTCCACCGGCTGGTTGCGCCGCGCGACCAGAAGTACCAATCCAACTTTGTTGAGGTGCGTTTCTATGCCCCCCACCGCTTGCCACTGCTGATTCTGTCCCAGTTCCGCAACTACAAGATCGTTTACCGTCGCTACGCGGGGCTGTTTTTCTGCGTCTGTGTAGACGCGAATGACAACGAGCTCGCGCATCTGGAGGCGATCCACTTCTTTGTCGAGGTCCTCGGTGCGTAGTCCTTGCTGCCATGTCCGGGAAATGGAATGGAGGGCAGATACGTTCTTTGACAACGTCTGCGAGCTGGATTTGGTGTTTAATTTCTACAAGGTGCGTTCTGTCTCTTTCTCCCTTGCCATCTTTCCTCCCTTCACATGTACATATTCTGTTTTGACTGGTGGCTAAAGACAGTCAGGTATACGCTATTCTGGACGAAATCTTTCTTGCTGGAGAGATCGAGGAGACGAGCAAGGACGTTGTCCTTGCACGGCTCGAAGCGCTGGAGAAGCTGGAGTAGCGAAAGGGAAGCTGTCTAACGCGTCATATCATCCCTCTCCCCAGCCACGGCTACTGTAGGTTACCATCTCGGGTGTGTTGTTCGGGACCTCACAGCTGCTGTGGCTCGTTATGGGTACATGTAGGCTATACGTGTAAAGATAGAAAGGATAGATTACTTTCTCTCCCACAACGTGTGAGGAATGACAGTCGTCTTGGTGATGACGAGATCGACAAGCCAAATGAGTTTCTTTCCTTCTTTCTTCTCCCCACCACTACCCTGCCCATGGATGCACGCGAACGCTGGCTAAACCTTAGGCGCCGGGTGTCTGCCGCGACGACCACCACACGCTCAGCCCTCTCTGCGCGGTTTCCTTTACCCGTTAGCAAACCGACAAAGACAAAGACAAAGACACAAACACGCGAAGAAGGACCCATCTCCAAACTTCCGCCTGAACTCCTTCTCCTTCTCATCTCCTTTGTCGACTCCTCGAATCTATCCAGCTGCAGCGTCGTCTGCGCGGCCTGGCTTGCACCAGCTCGAAAACACCTCTTTCAGCGCGTGTCGCTGGAGCTACGCAATGCGGACCGTTTTGGCCGCTTTTTCAGCGGGGTCCAACCCAGCGATGGAGGCGGAAGCTGGGCCCAACGACGACGCAAGTCGTTCCCCATATCCCTCGCCCTGCCCCCTTCCAATAATACCCCCACACCCACCCCGACATTTGCCCCGCATGTACGAGCGGTCGAGCTTGACGAGAAGCTTGCCGCGGACCTCTGGACGTCGGATGTGCTGCCAAATATCCTACCAATGCTGCCCAGCCTCACCACCCTCGCGCTCTTTGGTGGAATTCCGCGGCGGCCACTCCCCGTCGCGTTTGCCTATTCGATAACGCGCCTCGAGCTCAACAACGTCTACAGCCCTCGCGCGGGATGTCGCATTGATGCGCTCATTGCGGGCTTCCGCAGGTTGGAAAGCTTGAAGGTTACACATGAGACAGGGATGGGAGACGACTTTGCTCTTGATGTAGAGCTATTTCAGCCCTCGAGGTTGTTGAGGGTTGTCGATGTAGACGATCCGTTACTTCTCCAGTGGATCGTCCACAGCGATTCGGTCATTTGCCAGCTAAGGGTGGAGGTCTCAAAGCCGGAGACTGTCGGGGCGCTGGTTGTGCTAGGAAAGCTGCTCAATTTGCAGGTTCTTGACCTGGTTCTGGTGGACGTAGAGGTCGCAGGCGCGTTATTATTATCAGATGTTTCCAGCCAACTCTGACTTTCAAAAAAACAGAAGCATTCCTTGCTCACGCGCTCCCGCTGTCGGCACCCGTCCATTCCTTACACATCCAAGCAGACCACACCCTCGCCGGCCTTGTCCTCCTGCACACGCTCGCCCACCTCGCGACCAGCCACATTACCACGCTATCTCTAGCCTTCGCCGTGCCTTACATCAACGACTCCGACACCATCGTGACTGCGTTACCGTGGGACGCCCTTGATGCCGCGCTGTCCCGCCTGCCATCGTTGTTACTCCCTAGCCGCCTCACCGTCGTCAAGCTTCTCGTCAGCCCACACGGATGGCGCAGCCGCATGACCCAGCGCGCCATCCCCGTCGACCCCAGCGAGCGGCTACCGCGCGCCTTCCGCCGGAGCAGCACGGTGGCGAAGCCAGACGTGTCAAAAGAAAAAACCGTAGTCCGGAGCTGGCCGGGCGAGTGGGGCGGGCCGATGGACACCGTCAGGAAACCCGCGGGGAGTCCGCGCATGTCTGGCTGCGACGACGCGCTGCTTTCGATTGCTATGCTTGCTAGCTGAAAATTTCCTATATTTTCCTGTTGTATCTGTTTTGCTCCACGTCTGTATCTAATACGCTGTCCAATTGTATCGTTGGCTTACCACAGAGTCCTGATATGCTTTCAGCTCGGTTACCATTGGCAATTTCTATGCTGTTGCAGTTATAATTCAAAGTGCTCCAAGATGTTGGCATGAGGGGGGGTTGTAGAAAAGTTGGCACCCTAGGGTTTCTTTTTCACTTGTGGGGAAGGCATTCAAGGCAAAAGTAAGTAAATCCAGCACAGCCCTACAAATTGTTTCTAGATCAAGTCTACTTATACTTATACTGTAGACAGTCTGTAGAATAATAATATACTAGAATTTCAATATGAAATACAAAATGAGGACTTCAGTTATGTGAATGGCAATACTTAAGGCCAATCATTTCAATTTCGATAAGTAAGTATAGAGATTTTCTACCATGGCATGGCAAAACAAACTTGAACTTTTCTCTAAAGTCTGTAATAAAAAAATGTCCAGTGATGAAATCCTATCAAGTACATACAGGATATTTGGTGATTATTCACTAGTAGGCAACTCTCCAGGATCCTCCCAGTCAGGATCACTCTTGAAAACAACCTTGATCGTCCGACTGGCAGCCTTTGCAACTTTCAAAACATGCTCGATAAGGTTAAGATACTGCTGCTTCCCGGCCTCCTCGCGGGCCGCTCTCTCGAAGTTGCTTTCGCCCGGTACCGGCGGAGGAATGTATCCCGCCGCGTGCGCCAAACCCAGTGCAAATTCGCGGATCAGCGCCATTGTCGGTGCGGTGTGCGCACCGTATGCCAGCAACAGCGCTAGGAGCTGGCCTCGAGTCCCCTTTAGCGGCAGGGGGAGCCACTTCTTCGAGATATGCTCAAGCTTATCGGTCGGCTGATGTAGTGAGCGATGAAATTTGGGATGTGGCGGCCTGATGAGATCGTATAAGAGTGGTGCCCGATGCGGATGCGGCCGGTTGCCTTGCAGCTGCACGAATAGCGCCGTTTCGGTGTCCGGACTGGCGCCACACGCGAGGAGGTAGCGCGCGACGTCTACCTGCTCGAACTTGGCTGCGAACCCAAGGGCGTTGCCCCAGTGGCCCTTCGCATCGAGATCGGCGCCCTTGGCAAGAAGGAGGTCGATCAGATCAAATTTGTTCGGGAAGGAGCACGCGAAGTGCAGCGCCGATTGGGTGCCTCCGTCGGCACCCCATTGGCTGTCAACGTCGGCACCGTGATCCGCCAGCAGCGCCACCATCTCAAGGTCTTTCCATTGCGCGGCTAGATGCAGCGGCTCGTAGCTGTCGTCGTCGAACCATGCCCAATGCATCTCCGCTCCCGCCTCGAGAAGCAGCCGCGCCCCAGTAAGGTTCCCTGCCTCTACGGCAGCGTGAAGCGGACGCAGCTCGAAGCCCTCGAAGCCTTGGTCAGGCCTGACCGAATGCGGCGCGGATAGTAGCCGCCGGAGAATCGGCGTGCGCGTTTCGTCTGCAGCAGCCCATAGAAGCGTGGCCGCGGCGTTCTCGGCGATCCGCGTGTCCAACGAAGGCTGCAGAACGTCGTGTAGTCGGTGACAGGAGCTCACAAGGGCGTTGAGCGAGGTAGTCGGGAGGTCAGAGGGCAAGAGCAGAATGAGCTCGATCGGAAGCTGTGAAAAGGCGCCCATCCTTCAAGATAGAAGTAAACTTATGAGCGCCATTTAATCTGCCTGGATGTTACCATGGTTACACAAAGCTGTTTCTTTATCAAGGTCTTGACCGCGAAAAGAGCTTGATGACTCTTGTGATTTCCCGCAATTGACCCGGGCAGGGTTCCTTCCTGATTATCGTTGAGAGGATGATACATAGTAAGTAGAGCATCTTCTTTGAGTCCAAATAATATTGTCAAACAATATTGATCAAAATAATATCTTATAAAATAAAATAGCTACATTACTAGTGACATTTGGCAATGCTTCGTATTATCTAAAAAAATTCAAAAATGTTTTGATAGTGGATTCTGTATCCACATAAGCCTGTGATGTATAAAATAAATGAATAAAATAAAATATAAAAAATTCAGCTGACCATTGACAACTACTTAAAGATTCAAGGTTATTATAATGTCACATAACTCAAATAACTTCAAGTTGTCACCAGCTATGACATTCTACAGAATTGAGAGCCAAGGCAATATTATATGATAGTAGATACTAAAATAAAGTTGCAAAAATATGACAGTCTACATGGCCATTCACAAAAAATGTTGGATATAACTTAAGAACATTGTTGGTAGGCCATTCGCTATTAGTCTTCGGGGGTAGGCAACTGCACGGGTAAACCCATGGGTATCCGAGGCGTTACTCATACCCTTACCCACACAGCCACCACACCCGTGCCCGCGGGTACAGGTAGGGGGTTTACCCATGGGTCACCACCGGTCACTGATAAAGATGTGTCAGAGGTACAAGGTGAGTCAAAGCCATAATATGTGATGAAAAGCACAAATACAGTGTGAGTTGAACCGAGGACCTCAGCAGCAATCTCCAGGAGTAGAACCAGCTAAGTCATTAGGCTACAGGTATCCACCTCGCTGACCCATACCCGTACCCCCGCGGGTAAAACCCGCCTACCCGCGCGGGTTTGGCCTACCCGTGCAGTTGCCTATTCAGGGGCAACAGGGCCAAATTCCGGTAGTAAGTGAATGCTTTGGTGGGCATCAGAGACAGAAATAACACCTGCATCCCAAACACGATTTTGAGTTGATCACTTAGCCTTATAAAAGTGGGGCCATGCCTCTGGTGCTGTCGCAAAAGAATGTCACAGATAAGACCCAGTCAATCTTAGTGATGGCCAAGTCCGGTTTGGTTCAAAATCGGATTTTGGCCGAACGGCAGTTCGAACCAGCCTTGAACCGGCACTTTTTGGCCCAAAATGGCCCAACCTGGCCAAACCGAGGGCCAGGTTCGTTTCGGAAACGGCATTTGCTGAACCTGAATGCCGAATGCGCGTTCAGTCCGGTTCAGTTTGGGTTTGAACCAAAATCCCGAACCGGACCTGGCCATCGCTAGTTCATCTGCTCAGGTACGTACTGGTGTTGGGCCACTGAGTGTCACGGATAAGAGTGAATCCCGGTACAATGGGTCTTGCCCCTGCACAGTAGGCCAAAAGGAAGGGAATTGAACAATGGACATCAACGTGAACTGCACAAACAGTTGACCAGGCTCCAAGGAAGGAGC